TCTAGACTGGGTCCAGGTCATAGGGGGGCTTGCATGCAATAACAAAGAGCGCTGGGTTTTATCCTGTATGTCAGTAGCTCTAAATTCTGAAGTACATAAGAACCACGCAAGAAATTCTAAAATGCAGCTCCCAAGGTGTGTGAGGTGGGGCTGACTAGAGAAACAAGTTCAATGACACTCATATATGTATAAGAAAGAACTTTATTATCAAGAAGCTTTATGTATCAGGAAAACATCCCAGCCCAGTCCAACTCAAGTCCATACGTCTGACAGTAGTTCATAATCCTTCTTCAGACTCACACAGCCACAGGCACTGACGCAGAGGGCAGGAGGATCACAGGCTGGTGGGTGCAAGGTCATGTGGATCCAATGGTGCAGTTCATCACAGTGCTCTGGCAGGTCTCAGAGTGGCTTGCCAGCAGGAAGGTGAAGGAAGAGTGGGGGGTAAGGGGTTGGGAGGGCCCTTCTGATGAGAAGGTCATACCCAGCCAGGGGACCCATCAGGCTGTGACCTGATAGGCTAAATTCTACCCCTACACTTTTATATCTCTTCAAGTTGACATGAAATTAGTGTAACCACCACACTATATCTCCCCACCAGCAATTCTATCTCAATTGATCTGTATCTAAGAATTGCAGTCTTAACAAGTACTCCAGGTGATTGTGATGACAGTGGATAGGGGTCAGACTTTGAAAATTTTCTTGAAGTCATGCAAGAAGCTGACATAACCCAAGGGCACTGGTGGAATGACCTGGATTTAGGATTCAGGATTGGGAGATACCATGATTTCACAGAGATGAAGCATCTGGAAGCTTTGAACACACCACCTGGCACACAGTTGGTGCTAGTAATTTATAGCTGAACTTGAACTTTTCTGTAGTGGCAATAGCTGAGCCAGATGTGGAAAAACAAATACTTAAAGAAAGTACTACTCTTTGAATTTGACCTCTTATAGGCTTGGGGTTCTTAAGGATGGGGGGACCTAGGCAAACATCTCAAGTTCACTCTGAAGTAGGTCCTTACCAGCAAATGACAGAGTTCACCCTCCCTGACATTCACCTCCCATGATAACGACAGGCGGTGAGGAATGACCAAATGCTACCAACTGGCTTTCAACTATTAATCATTGTAGCAGAGTTAGGAGTATGCGGACAGTTTATAGGCTGTTTCTGGATATGCATTTTTTTTATTCTAAGTTCTGCAGCCCTTGATGAAGCATAGAGAGTTTTAGCAGAAGTTAGATACATTTTTAACAAGAAAGCTCCCAACTGCCTGTTGTTTTGAAGGACAGCATCAACCGTTGTATCCATCCAGACAGGATTTGGACAGGATGCAGAGTGTAACAGAGCCCTGTGGCAGCAGAGGCAGCTGGAGATGGGAGCTGGCTTTGGACCATGTTGCTTTCTCAGAATCCAGTCTGGTGTATACTATGGCTTGTTATAGAGTCACCCCTTCCTGGTTAGATCAAAGGTTGATCAGCACATTCTCTGCGATGCTTTGGCAGGTTCTCCCACTCCACACAAACATTCATTTGAGATGCAGAAATTTCTGTAGTCTGGGAATGCAGGCGTTTGTGTCTAATGTTTGGCTGAAGCATTTCAGAAAAATATTTTGCTTGAAAGGAGACACCGGACCATAAAATGTGTTTCTTGCTCTGTCCTGGTAAGAAGAAAGCTTGCCTTAGATCATGGTCCCAAGTCCTCTCCGCTTTTAGAAGGTGAGACATTTTGATGTAGCAGAGAGTGGTGGGGTGGCCCCAGGGCAGGGTCACTCCATGGCACAGATGGATGAGGATGGCCGCTACCTCTATGAGGGAGGAAGCCTGCCTCCCATCGTAATACTGTCAGAAGTGTTTTTGGTATAAAATAAATGCAAAGTAGATGGGGTTGGGAGCCGTGGGGGACGTGCCAGCTCCCCCCTGCCCAGACCTCAGATCATGGCACTGCTCTCGGGGGCACAGTTGAGGTGTGTCGAGGTGCTGCCGCTCCTTGAGGACTTGGAGGCGTGGCTGGCAGCGGGCTGCAGGGCAGCCACTAGCGTGTCTGCGGAGACAGCCCCAAACTTTCGTAGCTGAAGGTGCCACAGACCGCGAGGATGTCGATGACAAATACCCACTTGCACAGGGCGGCCCGTGCTGCGGCTGAGAGTTCTCACGGGCAAAGGAGACCCCACTGAGCACAAGGAAGACAAAGGCGATGACAGCCGGCATACTGCGCAGGTGGGCCATGGCTAGGTCCAGGGGTCCCGTGGCCCCATGGTAGGACTGGAGTAAGGCCATGGTATCTGAGCTGTAGCCCTCACTCTACTATCAACTACCAGAGAGAACTCAGACAAGTTGTGCGCTTTGCTGGGGCCTGTCATAAGTTGATTTCCTTGGAAAATGGACTCAGATTTGAGACAGGAGGCTAATGAGGATTGGTGTGAGGAACACAAAGTGCGACTTAGAGATACTTTGAGTGATGTTACGGTCAGAATGCTCTTCCGAATGGTTTGTTCGTCTGGGTTGAACAGAGAAACGAATCCAGAGACACTCTGTGTAAGAGAGAGCTTTATATCAAAGAGAAATTGTATATTGAGAAAACATTCCAACCCAGTCCAGATCAAGTCCACAAGTCTGATGTTAGTTCATCTGTCCAATACGACTCCATGAATTCCTCTTCAGACTCACACAGCACATGCAATGATACCGCATGCAGGAAGATCACAGGCCTGGTGGGTGGAAAGTCTTGCGGATCCAGTTCTGGTGGAAGCATCTCAGCTCTGGTGCGGGTCTCCATGTGGCTCCCCCAGCTCTCCAAGTGTCTGAACAGCAGGAGGGGAAGCAGAGAGAGGGTGTGGCCCACCTCCAGGGAGAGAGAGAGGAAGTTCCCAGAACCCTCATGAGAAGGCCATGCCCACCTGAAATTACTGTAACTACCACACTAACTCAATTGACCTGTATCTAAGAATTGCAGTCTGAACAAGTAACGCATTCATCATCACAGGAAATTGCCCCATTACTGAGCAAAATTGGCATAGGTATCCAGAAGGGTGCAAGCTGGGGCCTTTTTAAAAAATCTGATACTATATCTAGCTTTCTTCCACCCATCCTAGACATTAAATGTTTTTTGTGATTTCACCCGGTCACTGCTCGGTGCCATCGAATCCGTTTCAACTCATAACAACACTACATAGAGCAATACAAACTATCCTATGGAACAATGGGGTTATCATGAGTCATAACTGAAACAATTATTATTGTCATTGTTATTAATCACAAAGTAAAATATGCTCGTGCTAAAATTGAGTAGCCATGTATCCAGTGGACCTTACCTATCTCCTCATGTCCCGCTCCCTCCCCAGAGGCCAATAGTTATTAGCTGGGTGTCTTTCTGGGCCTTTTCTGTGATGCATAGCTCTTGAATGCATATTCTTTTCAACTCTTTTTAAATCAAGAATAAAGTCATTGTATGCAATATTCTGCAACTTATTTTGACACTCAGTGAGATGTACTCTAAAATAGACACACAAATCCCGAAATTCCCTTCATTTGTATTTTGTTTTATGTTTGAAACGCGACTTTGCTTGTATTTGTGCAACACGGGATTTCTCATTTGGCAGAAAGTATTTCACCCTTCTGGGGGCTCTGCGCTGAGCGAGGACTTTGGACAACATCCACAAAACCTCGTCTGCCTTTGGGGAGGAAAAGTCTCTGTTCCTTCTTTCCGCTCCATGAGGGAAACCAAATCCTTGTTTCCATACCTTCAGCAATCCTGATCAAACCAACCAAAGCAATAGTCCAGTTACAACGGTCCTTTTTCTTTTTTTTCCAAGAAAAGAAAATGATATGCAACCTATCACCTGAGCATCACAACATTGTGGTTGCTTCCGCTGTCGTACTCTTCACTGGGCAGCCATGTTGGCGCTAACCGACAGGTTCCCGTAAACAACATTCTTCTTGTCACATGTTTGCTAATTTCAGTTTTTCATATTTGTTTTTAATACGTCATATTCCTTTGCAGACACAAGTTTTTATAGGACTGGGGGAAACACTGTGGCCTGCATGGGAGGGAAGAAGTAAATTAAGCCGCTCTGTCCCTCCTTGGAACATTTTAAGATCCATTCTAGCCATAGGAATGGTCACACAAAGCTACAATGACCTTGCTTTTCATGCTTCCCAATAGCACGGTGACACGTTCAGGAACTATACTAAATTGTGATGATATATGTTCGAGCCTGAAGATTAGACGCAAACAAACACTTCATGGTGTATGTGTTGCACCGATTCAGCAACGCTTTGTGTGAGATTGTATTTGCTTCTAAGATTTGTACTATGAATCATTTGACTTGTCCTGGAGTCCAAGTGAACCTGGGAAGAAATATGAACATAGACTTTTGCTCCCCCAAAGCAGTGATGTGGCTTACTGAGACCCAAAGCGAATCCTATAATTAAAAGAAAACCCACAGATTTTAGACTCAGGATTATAATTAAAACACTCTCATGGCCATCGAATCAATGCTGACACACAGCGACCCCCTGTGGGTTTCCAATTCGGTGACTGTTTACAGGAGCAGAAAGCCCAGTCTTTCTCCCGAAGAGCTGCTGGTGGTTTTGAACTGCCGATCACGTGGATCACAAGCCAACGGGTACAAAGCTGAAAGAATGCTCAGGGTACAATTCTTGGGCAGGTAGTGTGATGGCTGCTCTGGGGGGTGAGTCGCGGTCTCCCTGCAGGGATTACTCAGAAACCTTCACTGATGTTCTCCTTCTTTTGATTCCCTAAGGCCGAGCTGAGCAGACCCGGGGCCTTGATGATCTATTTTAATCAAATGGATTTATCCTTTGATTTATTTATTCACTTTAGAATGTTTTGCTTAAACACAAGATGAACCAGCTATGTGAAATGAATGAAAGCTAATCAGATGAACACCAAAAGGATGCCAGAGGGGCCACACATTCATTCCCTATCAATGGATGCCTTTCCACACTCACCTTTATTCCCATTCTTTTTGCCTTAAGATAACAAGAGACCCATGCGTGTGGTGGATGATGAAGACTTGGTAGACCAGCATCTCATCAGCGAGCTGAGGAAAGAGTATGGAATGACCTACAATGACTTCTTCATGGTGCTGACCGATGTGGACCTGAGAGCTAAGGTACAGGTTCCCATTCTGCACAGTGCAGTGCCACTCCTTAGATGTGTGAGACTCTGGTTGGATGTTTTAGGTCAGGGTGTTTATTAATCATAAAAGCAAGTTGCACAAATTATTTCATGAACTGGAAGCTCTTGAAAAGATCCTGGTATTTTAGGTTGTTCTACAAAATCTGTGTTCAGAAATGTGCTCTGACCAAAAGATGAGGTTGGTCTGAGCTCCCAGGGCCCAGCTATTTGACTCGCGAAATTCTTCTCTAATGTCAATGCCATGTGTTCATCAGACACCGGTGCACGGCTATGATGTGCCAGCCTCTGAGGATGAAAGGCAAAGTATATTTGGCCTCTGCCTTTAGGAAAACCATATTTAATGTTGGCCAAATTTGGGAAGGGTCTGGAAATTTACCTACTGCTCCGACATGGACAAACACCGTAGGTTTTCACACCCACTTTCTTCCTATGTTTAGGAACAAAGGTTCTGAATCATTCATAACTCTGCAATGGAGACATAATCATAAACTAATAACAGAGATGACTAACATTATTCACTGTTTTCCTTTAAACCGTGGCCTCTGGCTAACCATTTTGTGCCTTTTAACTCAAGCCTCTAAGGTGAATACTAGAATTATTATTGTTTTCTTTCTTTTTTATTGTTAATTTGGAGTTACTATAACTGCCTAAACCATTAGAGCACACTGCGAATAAACCCAGCTCACATGAGAATCTTTAGGAAAATGCCTGCCTGGGCTATAAGCATAGTTGGTTAAACTTGCAGTGTTTTTCTGCCTCTGGTGAGAATCCCCTTCATTAATTCCTTCAGCCTTTGTGTTGTGCCCTTCTCTGGTGGGAGAGGTTCGCCTGGGTGATCTCTCTGGCCTCTGCCAGCTAGCACTCTAGGATTGACTGCATGCTCATTGTGGGCACTGCTCTAAGCCCTGGCTACCCTGCTGTCTGCCAGTTATGTGTAGGCATCCCTGAAGCCCATTTTAGGTTCCAGTCGCAAATCTACACAGCTGCAATCCAGGAACGTGAATCTCAGTGTCCTTTCGTTGTTTCTGAGATCAGCACACCGATACAATCCAATGTGCTCGCTCAATAGAAGGATCTTTGGGAAGAATAGAGCGCATACAGACTCCCTCGCTGCTCAGGTCAGTCTCTAGCGTGGTTTCCCACTTGGTGTCTTGTGTTAAACACAGTGTTTCTCACCTCCTTCTCTGTGGTGACCCGGTACCAGCTTAGCCTCAGAGGTATAATAAAGTGAATCTAGGACTTGTATGGGGAGAAAGACGTGGGCCAGGCCCAATGAGAAGAGCACAGTGGAGATGAAAATCTTGTGAAAAGTGGTCACTGGTTCAAGGTTGTAGAACCTCAAAACTTTAGAAGCAATGACTGCAGTGGATTCCCGGGGGGTGGGGGTGGGGGGCTAGTGCTGATGTGTCGCGCTGCTAAATGCAAGCTCAGCACTTTGTAAGTCGGCATCCCTCTGAGGTAGAAAGCAGAGGCTTTCTATTCCTGTGAAGAAGGAGTCTCAGACGCCCCCAGGGACCATTCTACCCCGTCCTCTGGAGTCGCTGTGAGTCTGAGTCAACTCAACGGCAGTACGTTTTTTGGTGTGGCTGCAGTGGCTTAGTGGTTGCATGCTTACCTTCCACGTAGGAGACTCCTTCTAATCCCACCTGATGCCCAGTGATAATGAAGTCACCAGAGGCGTGTGCGTCTCTGCGATGCTGGACAGGATCCAAAGTTGCTTCCAGAGCCAGTGAGCACCCCGTGGATCACAACGATCTGACCCCCAGCCGATCGCCGGGAGAGCACAGGACTGGGCAGTGCTTGGTTTTATTGTCCAAGGGGTCGCTGTGAGTTAGGGGTACACTTCATGGCACTCAGCAACTGTTATAACTACTGTAGGAGAAAGGTCATAGCCCAGTGGGAATTCCCATCTTGCGTTCTCAGATTCCTGCAGACGTTCCCTGACCTCTCCCAAATGCTCTCTCTTGTGAACATAGGGCACAAACTCACTTACACATCATATGCTTTCTCTTCTTTCATCAACAGCAATACTACGAAGTGCCAATAGCCATGAAGTCTGTGTTCGATTTCATCGATACTTTCCAGTCTCGAATCAAAGACATGGAGAAGCAGAAGAAGGAAGGCATTGCTTGCAAGGAGGACAAGAAACAGTCACTGGAGAACTTTCTATCCAGGTGAGTGACCTCCCTCTTTGTGGGCAATAAGGAGGCGGGAGAGGGTGCTCTGGGCTAGCAAATGAAATGACCATGGAAATGCGTGTTCTCAGACAGTGACCTTCCTGGAAGAGAAGCCTGCCTCCTTCCGTGACACGCCAGCTAATGAGCCATCTTCTCCTGCTGGAGGCTGCTCTGGTGGGAAGATGGTTGGGTTCCGTTCCAAGCCTGACTGTTCTTCTGGTGAATTTGGAGAGGTCTTTTCGTCAGCTCGCCTTTCTGCTTTGGTTTCGTTGAACACAGATATAGAATTCCCATCTTCCTTGGGCGAGTTGACGTATGTAGCCAGTATGTTGGGCCATCTTTGTCTACAGGCTTTTAATTGGCTGCATGGAGTTCTCAGCTCCCTTCTCATTCCACACGAGACTTTTCACGCTGTTCTTGATTTCCCCCTCCTTCCCGTGCTGCGGGGAACATCTTCTAGACCCAGCTCCTCCTCAAATCCCCAGGGGATTTACTGAAAAGCATTTTCCAGAAATGGATTTTCCAGTGCCTGTCGGGGAGAAGCAAACTCAAAAGTATAAAATAATACTCACTCTACTTCCTTCCTCCTTTCTGCATCCCTCCCCTCTGTTGGGCCATCATTCCACAGGGCCTCAGGGGCCCTCGGAGGTGAAAAACTGGGGACAGTCCACCCTCAACAAATAAACTCACAGAGATCTCTGTGTAAACACTGCTTCAACTGTACTATGAGGCTGTGGGGAGGGGGCGTGCAGAGCCGGAGCATCTACTGCGAGGCAGGCGCGTGTTCAGAGAGTAACACTGCAGAGAGAACCTCCTCACTTGTCTCTGCAAAAACACATTCTCCAGATGTGAGCTAAGAGAATCAAGCATTGTGTGATTAACACAAAGACACACGCAAATACACGAGACACCTTCTTACTAAACTAGACGGAACAGAAGACTGAGATTTATTACAACGTGGATACTTTGAAATCCTGAAGACGCTGGATGCTCAGGTCATAGAGCACAGCGTTTATTGTTGGTTTCAGGGTGGGGTGTGCACCTCGGCAGCTGTGGGAATCCTGCACGTCTCAAATAACCTGCCATCAAAGCTCCACTCTTGGATTCTCAGATAGATCTGCATCCATGGCGTCTAAAGGTTTTTGGAAAAGAAAAGAAGAAAGTCCGACCATGGGTAAAAATTTATTATCCATACATTGTCTGGAAGTTTGAAAGTCCATCGACGGCTACATTCATTACTCTTTCAGGAGCATGCTTCTTGTGTTACCTAGTATGGGTGTAACAACATACGGGCATTCCCATGGTATATGATTAAAATCTGGATATCTCGTGGCTGTGCCTGATTTGAGGGTACAACATAGAAAATAATTTTTCTGACAATTATTCTTGATCTTAAAGTTTAAAGTGGATTAGTGTATTGCTTAAGGCATGAGTAGGGTAGCCCTCAAGTTGGATTCCTGGTTTCTCCAGGTATTAGCTGGGTGCCCTTGAACTCATTACTTTAACCTGGCTGGGCTTCCATGTTCTCATTTGCAAAGTGAGGATGGGTCTCTTTGTAAGGTTCCCCGGTGACACCGTGGTTAACTGTGGGACTGCTGACTGTAAGGTCAACAGTTAGGAACCACCGGTCTCTCCTTAGAAGAAAGACAAGGCTTTCCACCCCCATGATTAGTTACTGTCTCAGAAGTTCCCCAGGGGCAGTTCTACCTTGCCTTAGAGGGTCCCTCGGAGTCATTGTCGAGTTTGGTCAGCAGTGAATTGGGTTTTCACTTTCGATGTCTATCATCAGGCTGTTGTGAAGTGGGATGCAATACTAGAGGGAATGTGCTTAACCTGGAATCTAGCACATGGGAAGTAATGAGTAAATGTATGCTGTTATTAATATTGGATAGGAATTATTAAACTTTGCCTTAGACAACTTTGTTAGCAAGAAAGAAGTAAGGAAAAGGAGACTTCGTAACACCCTAGGATTAAAATGCAAGCAAAGAGAAATGAAGGGGCAAAGTTTAAATTGATAGCTCTGCAAATAAATCTGTTTCCAAAGGGGAATTTTCCTTTAAACTCATTGAGTTGACGGTGGTTCTGTGTAGCCTGGCTCCCGCTGACCAGATCCTTGAGGGCTTGAAACCAGTCTGGCTTATTGCAGTGCTCATTTTACGCAGACTGTAATTACCTTTCCCTGAGACAGAAAACCCCAAAGGGTGGTATCAAATGCCCACTGATTGGGGAATGCCAGCTAAGAGAAGTAAATGCCTGCATTGATTGTCAACGTTTCATTTACTGAGAAACTAAGGTGGCAGAAAAGCAATTTGTCCAAAGTATGGACAGGAGCTACACGCACATATCCTGTGGCAGTCATCCCCTGGAGCCGGTGGTCCCTGGTGTGCTGAGCAGGGGCCTCGTGTCTTGGTGGGAAGTCTGTAGGAGAAAGAATCATGGCTTTAAGGGTGGGGGATAGGCCTTCTCTTGGCTGAGGAGTCGGAGGCCCCAGCCCACTCTCAGTCGGGGGTGGACAGAGGTAAACAAGCCAAACTATACCTCACCCAAAATAGCTTCCTTCAGTGTGCCCTACTGCTCAGTCGCCCAGGATGGGCGGAGGCAGGCAGGAGTGTCCTAGCTGGTCTGGCACCTCTCCTAAGTTAGCAAGGGAAAGCACAGGAGACCATCTGTGCCCATGCACATCCATCTGCCTATTCTCAGTGGGGGTTTTCATTTCTCTCCCCTTTGAAGAAAAACAAGCAGAGGAAGGAGATGGAACGTTACAGCAAGCAATTCTTGGCAAACAGGCCTCAATTCGGAGGTTGTATTTCATTAGACTTATTTTCTCTCACTCACCGTAGCCGCTGTTCCCCCAGAAGGACTTTTTCTTGGGAGTTCAAAGTGCTCATGTTCACTCTGAGGCTGGAAGAGGGAGAAGCCACGAATGAACCCAACTGCCTTCCAACTCAGGAGAAGGGTCTGACAATTGGCTTGGGAGAAACCATAGCCATTGAGGATGTTAGGGAGCGTGCTACTCGGAGACACGTAGGGTTTGGTCGTGAGTCAGAAGCAGCCCAGTGACACCTGATGTAGAAGTAAGAATTCATCGTCTTGAAGGGAGGGTACATTTCAGAACCCGTGATCGTCTCTTGAAGAATCTTAGGCTCCTGGAGAAGACGCAGGGGTTTTGTTTTTCCCGGAGCGTTGTTCACTCACTGAGCCATGCTCCTTCTGCCTGACACTGCCGTGTCCTTAAAATCCAACCCTCTGTTTCCACTGTAGCCTCTGTTCCTACGCCCCTTTCGTGACTCCTTCCAGATCCCAGTGGGAGCTCTTCGAGAACTTGAGTCCTCCTTGGCGCCCTTCTTTCTTTATTGCTGTGGCTATAAGTTAAGATGCAGCCTGGGCCAGCCTCCATTGCAGCTGAGAACTTCAGCTGGCCCTAAGTACCTCTGACTCATGCCTGACTCAGCCTAGAAATGCCCACGTAGGGAACGGAGTGGTCACAAGAGGAACAGTGAACTACGTGTGGCAGGACAGTTGAATGGGCTTGGGAAGCTGAGGAAGATTTCCAAGGACCGGTGTAGGGTTTTGTTTTTTAATTCTGGACACGGGAAAAACAGACAGCTACGTTCTCACACTGGCCTCTATCGTTTGGAGCGGGGACTAGACTATGCTTCTTTTCCAGGTTCCGATGGAGGAGGCGCTTGTTGGTGATCTCGGCGCCCAACGATGAAGACTGGGCCTATTCACAGCAGCTCTCTGCCCTCAGTGGTCAGGCATGCAATTTTGGTGAGTGGGAAGCTGCTTCCCCACACCACGCTCTCTCTGGTCAGTTTTAAAATGGAACACAGATGCTTTAGGGCATTCAAATGTGCCAGAGTCCGGACAGAATTTCCAGACACACCCTTAGTATGTTGATCATAGTGTTGCTCTCATGCTACAGCCTTAGTCAATTGGATACACACACACACACACATACACACATATGTATATGTGGATATGTAATATTCTCCCCTGTTATTTAGCTTCTTCAACGAAGTGTTAGAAAATAACTGCTATTTTACTTTGAAGTAATCTGTGTTGTCTTCATATTTGTTTTTCAAATCTGGTCTCAAGATCATGAAAGGGCTCTAGTCTTACTTTCTTAGTCATCGTCATTGGGTACTTCTCCACTGGTGAAACCTCATTTTATTTTTTTAATCATTTTATTAGGGGCTCATACAACTCTTCACAATCCATCCATACATCAATTGTGTAAAGCACATTTCTACATTCATTGCCCTCAATATTCTCAAAACATTTGCTCTCCACCTAAGCCTCTGGCATCAGCTCCTCATTTTTTCCCCTCCCTCACCACACCCCTCCCTCATGAACCCTTGATAATTTATAAATTATTATTTTGTCATATCTTGCCCTGTCCGACATCTCTCTCCCCCCACTTTTCTGTTGAAATGACTTCTGGAGTTAATGTATTAAAATGAAGCACACTATACTACATGTCAGGAACCCTGGTGCCACAGTGGGTTACACATTGCGCTGCTAACGCTAACTGCAAGGTCAGCAGTTTGAAACTGCCCACAGACCCAAGGGAAAATGATGAGGTTTTCTACTGCCATCAAGATGTACAGGCTTAGAAACCCACACGGGTCGTTCTACTCAGCCCCAGAGGGTCACAATAGAGTCACTTTGAATCGACTTGATGACCGTGAATTTGGTTTTGAGTTTTACACTGTGCTGCCTTGCCCTGATCTATAACTGAGCACCAGGAAGACAACAACATTTGTTAAACAGAATCTTATGTTTAAGATAAATGGGTCATCAGAATATATATGTATTTTCAAAATACTTTCTCGGTATTTTGAAAATTAATGCATGCTTTTACTGTCAGACATTATTATTGGAGTGGCCTGAAAAAAGCTAATATAGAGCTGATATAGGAAAATCCACAGTACATGAAAAGTTATTAATAAGTTCAATGGCAAAATGTAGAAAGGGCAATTTCCAAACTGGAAGTCACAACTGAAATCTCAATTAAGATATGTTGATAGAATCACTACAGAAACATTTTTAAATATAGCTAAATGTCAAAGATCATAATTTCATAGTTAGAACATAGATGATTCTATTAAAAAGATGAATCATTTATTAATTGCATTGTGCTTGAATGGAAAAAAGTACAAAGTGAGGGATAAATTTTATAATCAATCCCACCGCTTGGGGCTTTGTGTGAAATAACTCATATGAATATAAAAACTTATAATGGTAAGAACACCTAGAAAATTCATGAATAGTTATTTAGAGTCCTACTATCAAGGTTAAATATTAAGACCTTACTTAAGAATTGACTGTGCCAATATTATGAACTCTGCTTTGAGTTATTTATAGTCACCAATGGTGCTAAGGAAGAGAAAAATTCTTCGAGCAGATAACATTCTCACTTGTTGATTTCAAGGTTTCCAGCTGGTTCTTCAGCCATAGCAGACACAGTACAACTGGAACAGAGCCCATCTGGTATACATGTAGGTATACCAGAACAATAAACAGAGGGAAACATTAGGATTACAGGTTAATACACTGCTAGCAACCTTACCACCCTCTTAGAAAATAAGGACAGTGTGCGCGTTGCATAGCGACCAAATCTCTTGATTATCAGAGTCAGAAATGGTGATGCGGGCTCAAAGATGGTGGCCAAATGCATCCCTCTGAATGTGTGTCCTTCTCCACAGTCCTGGCAGGAAGACCGTTTCCCACGTCAAGCGCTCATTGCAGGGTTTCAACCCACATTTATTCCCATCTGGTTAGTGTTCCAGTGCCCTCCCGTTTTACAATGTTAGGTCTATACCAACTTCCCTGAATCAGACATGAGTAGACCAGCTTGAATCAGTTCCAAGCCCTGTCACTGTCCCTTAACCTAGACCTCTATGACATCCAAGCCAGCAAACTTTCTTGCAATATGTAAGAAATGGGAAAAGTCCTGTTTCCAGGAATGCTTACATACATGATGTTCCCTTTCAAAAACATGACTCATTACACTGAGAACAAGGTCCTTTACTTTTATGGAACAAGATTAAAGACAAAAGTGTTTTTATTTTGTTTCCTAATGAATAGCCTAGATTTTAGCTCCTACTAAAAAGGGCTATCCCCTTGCAGCTTTCCGTTTTCTCGCTGGACAATAAACACCTTCAGTGTTCATGTAAGTTTTTATGTAGTTTTTGGTAGTAATTAGTTCCAAATTACTAGCTTGTGTAGGCTGGAACTTTGTCTAAAACTTGAAATTTTGATATGATGATTTGATATCCCCTTCCCCATCCTCCTATTTTTTTCCTCCTGGATCCTCTCAGGTGTGCTTCATCTTCAAAAGAATGCCCACCAGCTAGCAAAGCCTGACCTTCCCTCGTGTCCTGAAACTTGAGCTGAGATTAGGAGGACAAGCAGTGCTTGCTTAGCCCTTTCCGTTTGAGTCCTCTGAAGAAGTTACAGGGCCCTGCGCTTTAAGTCAACCAGCGTTTGTGGGACTACAGCTTTAACATCGCAATAGATAAGGTCTTTAGTCTAATCTTTAAGAGCAAGCTATTATCCATAAAACCTGTTATGATTTCAGATTTACCTTGAAAAAAGCAACAACACTAATCCACTTAAGAGTACTGTGGACATTTTAACATTCCAATGACTTCATTTTGTCTATTATCTAATAGGGTGGGGATCATCATTTAAAAGCAAATACTTCTCTATTAATCTAGAAAAACAAATAACAATCTGGCCCTACTGTTCATCCCCAAATCTGCAAAAGTATCTTCTTCCTTTTCTTATGGTAAAAAACCATAAACACACACACACACAAAATGAATTGTTTTACTTAGCTTATGTTCTATGTTCTTTCTAAATGTAGGAGACTTAACAATTGTGAGACCGCAGGTCCTTGGAAGTAAAAGGAGGCCTGGAGCCATTTCCCCTGATTCTGTGGTTTTCTCTTCTCTCAGGTTTGCGCCACATAACCATTCTGAAGCTTTTAGGCACTGGCGAGGAAATTGGAGGAGTTCTCGAACTGTTCCCCATTAATGGTAACGTGCAATTATTTAGAAACAGTATGAAGTAGGGGTAACTTCTGTGAAATTGTTTTGTTCTATATAAATGTTGACTGAACCTCTCAGGTGACCACATTTTACCAAACCCCCCCTTTCACCATTGTATGAGTGTGTAGGGGTACAAAGTGTGTACAAAGTATGTGTATGCAAAGTGTGTGTGTATACATTGTGTGTGTACGAAGTGTGTGTACACATGGTGGATATACAAAGTATGTGCACACATTGCATGTGCAAACTGTGTGTACAAAGTGTGTATACAATGTGTGTATGGTGTATGTGTAAAAAGTGAGTGTACAAAGTGTATGTACTTGTGTGTGTATAAACTGTGTGTGTTCCAAGTATATGTACAATGTATGTGTGTGTACAAGGCGTGTGTGTGTGTGTGTGTGTGTGTGTGTGTATAAAGTATGAAGGAAGGAAAGGAGAGGTAGACAGCAAGGACTAATAATGATTTCAATACAAAATCTCTTTAAATGGATACAAAGTGTCATTTTCTTAATTACAATAATGCTTGCTATCTGTATAGGGCTTTATGGGTGACAATGCATTTTTAAATCTGTATCTCATTTAATTTTCACCATAGTTTTATGAGGTACTGGTTCAAAGCTCATGTATTTCTGTTTAATAGATGAGAACATATACTGCAGGCTCAGAGAAGCTGACAGAAAATCACTAACAATGAACAGTTTCAGAATGCAAATCCAGCCCTTCCTCCTAAGAGGAAGTTCTTGGCTGGAGATGATTGTGTATAACCCTTGGCACAAGTGGACCCCAGGAAGTGTCTCCTCTCTTACCCCTCCCAGTTTCTTCTTACTAATCATAGTTTAAATAAATTTGAATCGATCATCTATGCCTAGGATGGTCTACCTTTTGCTATAAAATAAATATCATAAGTAAAAAATGTAATTGCAAAAAAAGTGGCAAGTAAGCTAATTGGAAATACTTTAGAAATAGAGACCATTTGGTTTTTGTTTGCAATAACATTTAAAGATATTAATCTTAGCAGGATTAAATCAAGGGACTGGTTTTATATTTGATGATATTCCTATAGAAGCATCATGTTCTCTACAGGGTAATACTAATTATACTTCAGAATAGCAGGAACATTTAATTCCTAGTAGAAAAAGCCGCATATTATTTAATTGGGTTTTGGATTACAGAGATGAGACTCTGTTCTTACAGTTTTCTCATTTTGTCTTAGGGAGCTCTGTTGTTGATCGTGAAGACGTACCTGCCCATTTGGTGAAAGATATACGTAATTATTTTCAAGTGAGCCCAGAGTACTTCTCTATGCTTCTAGTTGGAAAAGACGGAAATGTGAAGTCCTGGTATCCTTCCCCAATGTGGTCCATGGTGATCGTGTACGATTTAATTGATTCAATGCAACTCCGGAGACAGGAAATGGCCATTCAGCAGTCACTGGGGATGCGCTGTCCGGAAGATGAGTATGCAGGATATGGTTACCATAGTTACCATCAAGGATACCAGGATGGTTACCAGGATGACTACCGCCATCATGAGAGTTACCACCATGGGTACCCATACTGAACAGAAGAAATATGTAATCCTAGCCCCAGCCATTGTCCCCTGCAGCTGCTGAAGCCACCTGTGGCCTGCTTCATGAAGTTCTTCCACACTGCCCACGTGCCCTGCCTTTTTCTCTGTGTTCTTCTAAGACTAAATAAATAGCAAACTTTTGCTTACTCCTGACTTATTATTGAAGCTTTAAATCATAAAAACATTTAACAGAATTGCTTATTTCTCTAAGTGGAAGGAATCTGGTGCTAATAATTGCACTGAAAACAGTCATTCCTTTTCCTGTAGTGGACACCATTTGATAGACAAAAGACTAAAACAAGCACTCATCCACTTCTCTTTAAAGAAACCCTACTGGCACAGTGGGTTAAGCATCAGGCTGCTAATGGAAAAGGTGGTCTTTCAAACTCATCTGCTGCTGTGCAAAAGATGAAGTAGGCTGCTTCGGTAAAGATTTGCAGTCTCAGAAACCCACAGGGACAGGTCTACACTGTCTTCTCGGGTCACTGTAAGTCGGAATCAACTTGATGGCAGTGAGTTTGGTTTTAGTATGTTCCTTTTTTTAATGTTTTCTTCATTTTAGAATTTATTGATAAGTGGAAACTATGATTAATTATATGTCTTTAGAAAAGATGGGTGAGAGACCATTTGTATCTTAATGCCTTAAGAAAAGATAAATGTGAGATCAGAGAGTTTCTGGACCTTTGGGCCATCTGAGCTGTTAACAATGATGGCGATAACTCGGCTTTGTATCGTCAACTTCTTTCTTGAAACTGATACTATAGGGGTCCCAGGACAATGACCACCAAATGCCAAAGAGAGGACAGAACCCAGCTTTGATCGCGCAGCTCCTTCCTACCCTCATTCTATTATCTTCAGTGTCTACCCAGAGATCCATCAGGAGCTGCAAAAAGTAACCCCAAAATCCTCTCTAGAATCTGATCCTTTGAGAGCTCTAGCAAGGATCCACACCATTTTGCTCTCCCTACTTCGCCCCTTCTCTCTGCCCTACAGCCCTTTCATCCTTGGACACCTCTGCTGGAGGTGTGAGGCAGGACAACCAGGTTGATGTAGAGCAGCAGTTCTCAACCTGTGGGTTGCGACCCCTTTGGGGGTCGAATGACCCTTTCACAAGGGTCGTCTGATTCATAACAGTAGCAAAATGACAGTGATGAAGTAGCAATGAAAATAATTTTATGGTTGAGGGGTCACCACACAGGAGGACCTGTATGAAAGGGTCAGGCATTAGGAAAGTTGAGAACCACTGATGTAGATGGCTCTGAGTTTCCTACAAAGGTGAGATGCAGTTCAAAATCATCATGAGTGGATTTGTTTACTGTTGCTTCTGAAAATAGGTGTGACAATTTTAAAATAAGGCCCAAGTCATCTTGATTTCAGGAAATACAATAAAGAAGGAGCTCCGTATCAATGGAAACCAATTGAATTGGGATAATGGAAGCTTTATTGAACAATATTAATATGCTAGTTCCTACAATCAGACACACCACAGCTTTTTCAAAGGTGAGACTATTTCTGCAGCCTGTTTCACTGACATGGAGATCATTACCAATAATGCATCTGAACTCTCATCTTCTAATGAGTGGGGCAAGAAGCGGCATTTTCATTCTTTGAAGGGCTGTAAAATAAACCACTCAATGGAGAAAAAAAATTGATGTTGTCAAGGACTTTGTCTTGCTTGGAATCACCATCAATGCTTATAGAAGCAGCCGTCAAGAGATCAAAGGCACATTGCATTGTGTGACTCTGCTGCACAAGACCTTTTCAGAGTATTGAAAAGCAAGGATGTTACTTTGAGGACTAAGGGGCGCCAGCCAAAGCCCTGGTATTTTCAATCACCTTATATGCATGTTAAGAGTTTGACATTGAATAAGGAAGACCAAAGAAGAGTACATTTATTTGAATTGTGATGCTGGAAAAAACGATTGAAAGTACTACGGCCTGCCAGAAGGACAAACACGTCTGTCTTGGAAGAAATACGGCCAGAGTGCTCCTTCGAGGCAAGGATGGTGAGACTTCATCTTACATGGTTTGGGAATGTTTGTTGTCAGGAGAGGCCAGTCCCTGGAGAAGGACATCATGCTTGGTAAAGTTGAGGGCTGGGGAAAAAGAGGGAAGCCTGCAATTGGATGGATTGGCACAATAGCTGAACAATTGGCTCAAACCGGAACAATCGTGAGGATGTCCCACGACTGAGCAGTGTTTTGTTCTATTGTGCATACGGTTGCTTTGGGTTGCAACTGGCCACATAATAAGCCACACCTTGGCAAAGGAATAGTCAAAGGGAAATATAATTGATAAATGTCCTCAAACTCTTTACTCTGGAAAAATGCAATTGATACCATAGAAAGTAGGGAGACTGGAGAATTAGGTAGTTGAATCTCTGTCTTTTGGGCATTTAGAGTAGATGGTTTGAAGGCTAAGTATTGACTTTCTATTAATAAACATTTCCTTTCTAAAAAGTTTTTTTTTTTTTAAAGAAAGAAAATGGAGTTTCTGACATAATGGTATTTAGGAAGAAACGCATCTAGTAGGTTTGTGTGAAATTGGGAGACAATAGTAGGAGAGGCCTTGCCGATTGGGGCTTGTCACAGATCCCTTCTTCTGTGTCCAAGGACGCTGTTCACCAGGTCTCCTCGGGCTATAAATTGAATAGTATTTGGGCAGGACTCTTCTCTGCATCATAGGCGAAGGTCATATGCAATGGAATTGGCAGAGTCTAGCTGGTCTCCTTTCCTGGAAAATATTACTAACCAAGTCCATGCCTTCTCAGCTTCTAGGAGCCTTGAGGATCAAAATCGGTTCAAGACCAGGGCTCATGGCCTCAGTGGGAAAGTGTGTCCCTGATTGATCTATCTTGGTGTTTAATACGTAGAGATTCCAGAAAAATAGCCTCTTAACAAGGACCTCTGCCCCCTTCCCCCCCCCACCCTCACTCCCATCACCCCTCGGCCTGCCAGATTGCTTATCTTTCCGCCTTTCTGCTGCGTGGTTGATCTGTGCAACATAAAGGGTGGTGTGCAGGCGGGCAGGCATGAATCTGAGCATTCATAACTTGATGTTAAGGTGCAGCATAGGGACATGCTATCTTCCTCTCATCAATTCTCTAAGAACTCGTGCAAGGGTGTTGAAGTCAGGCTTTCTCTTAGATCTGCTCAGGATATGAAGGACCCATGTGTCCAGATTGGATGGTAAGGGGCAAAGGATTAGGGGTAATAGAATTTGATGAGAGTCATGAAAAGGCCACTAGGTTGAGTGTCAGAAAAACAGGGTGCGGGGCCCTTGCTCTGTCACTTATCTGTGTGACCTGCGCTGAGCCGCTTTACCTCTGGTCTCAGTTCTTCTCCTTTAACATAAAAGGGGAGGCCAAAATATCTAAGCTCTTGTCTGACTCAGTGATGTGTGATATGGGCTCAAAGGTTTTAGATGATTGAACTTCTACCCATTTCTTAGAGAGCTCAGACTTCATAGTTCCCGACGTTTGTGGAAGAGAAGAATGGTATCAAATAACTTCACTGGATTCTTTGCAGCATTGCCTTGGCTGAAACTCAGTGGGCCATCACCTCTGCCCCACAGAAACCCCACTCAGCTCCCTCATAGGCAAACTGCAGTTTCCGTGGGCATTTAGGTTGGCAAGGCCTGTGGACAGCATGAACACTCAGAAAGACCTCCAATGAGCCATATTATTCAACATTATTTCCAAATTTGATGACTATACGTGCGATACCTCTCTGATATCCTGAAGCTTGGGCAAACTGGCTGGGCTGCAAAGACCCTACATGCTCAGTTTTCTTCGAGAATGCAAAAGGAACGTCGTCTGTCCATAAATCTGTTGATACATGCACCAAAGAGGGCAGACTGAAGAGATGGGATAATGTAGGTAAAGTTTTCTTTGGCTTTCCTCTTCCATCCTCAGAACCCAGGCTGTGCCCACCCCACCCCCCACCCCCATCCCCCTCTTTCCTTTCCCAGGCATCTCTCCCACAATTCATTAGGGTTCTCAGATTCCTACCGCTGATTAGGTGGAACTGATAGGCTAGAGGTGTTACTCTTTCCAAGAATATCCACAGTTCAGAAAGAGAGGCTTGAAGCTGGAGAGAGGCGTAGCAAAGCTTGGCAGGACGTTTCTGGAAGATTGCCAGTGCTCCGGTCAACAAGCCCCACTTTCCTTGCCAGAAAACGTGACAGGAGCAAAGTGACCCCTGCTTCAGCCTCACCATCATTCAGCTCCTGCTCCTTCAGCTCCTTCCTACCTTTGGCTTGCTTTTCACCACGAGCTGTCTTTGGAGAACCAGGTAGGACCAGTCGTGAGGGGTAGGAAACAAATGTTCAAGCCCTGGTCCAAAGGCACGACCAGAAATCAACACGCACTTCCAATGAGTCGACTTCAACGCAGAGCCAACCTACAGGACAGGGTAGAGGTGCCCCTGTGGGCTTCTAAGCCTGTAACTCTAAGAAGCCGAAAGCCTCCGGCCCTCAAGTCAAGACAACTAAAAAGCCTTGATGTCAGCAAAGAACACATTATCTGATTATTCTAGTTCAAAGATATTAATTTACAGGTCAGATTCAAAACATATGGAACATTTACTGTATTTCCACCCTTTTCTATGTTCTCTGTTAGAGATTAGGAATGGAAACATGAAACTAAAAAGACAGTTCTCTGCGCAGAAGCTCACAAGATGGAAGAGGACAATCGTGCGTACCACTAATTATAAGATAGTAGGTATGCCCGATGATTGGTTCATGCAGGTGAGAGAAATGAGGGGAAAGGAAGAGATGATGAGTGATATTCCTAAAGCCTATTAGAGAGTGAGCATGATTAAACTGCCTGTCCTTTCAGGGCCATGTCATTTGACCAGACACCTCGTATTGGCTCCACTGTCACCAGTGGTGGCTTTTTGATGCTCCCAGAACAGGCACTGCTTTTCCTCGGAGCTTCTTAACTTCTGATTCGTTCATGGACTTCACCTCTTTCCTACAATGTACCTACAGGGACTGTGAAACACAAAGCAATGAATTTATAGAAGAAAACATTAGAATGGAAACTTTGACCTTTGAGAAACATGTGACTGTTGACCATCCCCAACTTTGAGAAAGTGGGTGGTAAGAAAGATAAGTAACCCAATATGGCCTATTGCCCAAATAAGGGTTCGCTGTGACCGAGCTGCCAGCTCACGGGTCTGTGCTTTACTAGTGGTTGGACCTGTGGTTTGTGTTGTTCCCTCCTTTTTTTTTTTAAGAGTAAACATAACTTTTATTTATTTTCCCAAACCATTTTATTGGGAGCTAATACAGATATCATATTCTTCCAGAGTTCAATCACATCAGGCAGTATTGTACAATTGCTACCACATTCCCTTTTTCTGGAACTACTTGCCATCAGCTCCCCTCTTCCCCTCCCTCCCCAATGTACCCCTCAGGAACGCTTATTCTACTTGTCTCTGCAGGTGCATCAATCCTGGGTTTCATATACTGGAAAACAGGTAACAAAAATTCAAGAGGGTTATCCCAAAGTGACAAAAGGCATCTGAGATAAACCCCAATATGAAAAACCAAACAAACAAACCAAACACAGATAACCCTCTCATTATAGATAGGAATTAGGGTTACCCCTATTTTGGGGGGACAGTTTGTTTCAACCAATATGGACTTTTGAAAACGGCTCTTGAACCACCTGGGATATGCTGAGAACATAGCCTTGCTTAATGAAAGTGAAGAGAACTTGAACTCAACGATGATCGTCAGCGACGACAGCCTTCGGTGAAGGTTACGCAGCCGCATCAAGAAGGCAACAATTCTCACAGGTGGACCAATCAGCAACATCGTGAGTTACAGAGAGACGTTGGGAGTTGCCAAGGATTTCATTTTACTTGAAGCTACAATCAAGGCCCATGGAAGCAGCAGTGAAGGATTCAAATGGCATTTCACATGGGAAAACCTACTGCAATAGGAGCAGATAAAAAGATTACAAGCAAATTTCCCCTCGATGACTAAGGTGCATCTGACCCAAGTCAGGGTATGTTTCACTGCCTCATCTCCACAGGAAAGCGAAGCAATCAAAAAGGAAGACTGACGAAGAACCGAAGCACTGAATGAGGGTGCTGGTGGAGACGAGACTGTACCGCCATCTCCCAGACACACACGTCTGGGAAGTACTGCTGGAAGGCTCCGTAGACGCATTCATCGGAGCCTCCATCTCACCGATGTTGGTGGCCCTCTCAGAGAATGATTGGTAGGACTGGGGAGGAGCCTGGGGATTACCGTTTTATATCCACCCCCACCTGAAGCTCCTTTGATTATCCATGTCTGAGAATTCCCATGCAGGACAATGTTTTCAATGCCAGATGGAGCCCAGTCCCACCTGCCCTCCCAGAATTCATGGGGCGGTTGGGGGTGGGGGGTGGGGGGCTGCGGAGAGGAGTCCAAAGTATGTGAATACTTATGTATAAAACATACAAAAATATTCAAAAACTGCTGGCTACTAATCAAAAGATCAGCTGTTCAAACCACCAGTTGCTCCTCAGGATGAAGAAGAATCAGTCCGCCTCTGTACTAAATTACCAGCCTTAGAAACCACATCTATATTTGACACAGCCCTGGTGGTGCAGTGGGTTGTAAGTTGGGTTGCTAAGTGCAAGGTCAGCAGTTCGAAACCACGAGGGGCTCCAGGAGAGAACAATAAAGCTTTCTACTAAACACTGACAAGCTTGGAAGCCCTCAAGAACAGTTCCACGCTATCCTATAAAGGTCACTCTGAGCCACAATTGACTTGACAATGGGGGTTTTGCTGTACATATCACATTACAATGTAAGCTGCACAAAACGTTCTACACCCAAACACACAACGGTGAATAGAAGAGTAACGTGGGAAGAATATAAAAAAGTGACAGAAACCTTGCAATAATAACTTTTGAGGTAACAGAGTATACCTTCTGCTGAAAGGACCGTGAAACATATGTAAAAACTCTCATAAAGGACACATCCATAAATGCTCCAAAATAGTGAGGACAGATGTCCTTCTCTACACATTATGCCTGCAAATGAGAAACACGGCACTGACAAACCCTCCATTACATGGCTCTTGGCTCAAAAGAGACGAAGTCAAACCCATTGCCTTTGAGCCGATGCTGATCCTGGTCAGGGCACCGCTGTACTTCAAGACCTCTGGGGACAGACCAAAGATGTTTCTATCCAAGGAATCATTTTATTAGCCATAAGCAGGCTTATTAACAAACAGGGTGGAGAATAAATGCACGTCAGGAAGATGGAAAGTGAACATAAACCTTAAAAGAAAAAAAACCCAGAGAAACCTGGATAAATTATAAGCAGATTGCTAACTTATTTTTTAAGAAATACAAAGAGACCATTCATACACAACCCCAAGAATGAGAAATAAAATAGACCTGTACTACCAGAGGAAATTAAAAAGAATTATGAGAAAATGAGTCATACATTCTAATGCAAATAAGATTCAAATGGATGAATAGATTTTTTTTTAAATTGGCAACGAATCAAGAGCAGATCAAGAAATACAAAACGTAGGGGGAAAGTGCCCTGAAAAAAGGGTCCAGCTCAGGCTTAGTGGTGAGTTCTTTCAAAGCTTCAGGGATAAAATAAAATGCTGATGTTTTTTTAAACCTTTCCAGGGATTAGAGACCAGTGGGAGAGGGCAGCTTGCCCCAAGCCACATCCGCATGGGATTGTTAGGAACATGGGTTGATAGATCCTAGTGGGACAAAATGCAGTTCTGACAACATCAGCAGGTTTGTTCTCTTGGCACTATGACACCATAGTGCTTGAGGCAACCGAACCAGCTGGTGAGAGCAGAATTTCTGCAGGGCAAAGTGCTTGTTACTATGGTTTATTTGGCAGTCTCTTCCCATCGTATCTAGTTGAAATGTATTTATGCTTATTCATTATTAGACATGCTTATGCTAGGGGATTTAGTGCAGTTCAACAGCTCGTTACCTTCACATTAAACTCATGTGACTTAAATTGTATTTAGGCTTTGTACTTCGCTGTTCATATAAAATCTGCAAGCAAAGGCTATATGCTTCGATCGTTTGTACAGATTTAAATAACAGGAAAGTAGAGGAAAATACCAGCACTGAGATCTGTGAGCATTTTGTTTTCATGCCAAACATCAACTAGACTCACTCCCATTCACTTGACTCCAACTCCATACGACAGACTAGAGCTACCCTGTGGGTTTCCGAGACTCTTCATTGGAGTAGAAAGTGTCCTGTCTCTTGAGGAGCAGCTGGGGGTTTCAAACTGCTGCCCTTTCATTTACACTTTCCACCACCAGGGCTCTCTTAAAGGGACAGACACATCGGTCAAGTGTCAGACACAGTGCTCTAGGCTTTGGGAAGGGGGAACTACACCCATTCTTTCCATTGAGTTAGATTTTTGCCTGCTGCTTCTTCCCACTGTAAAGATGAGTTCATGGGGAAATAAGGGCTGAAGTGAAGAGGAAGGCATCAAGGCTACATTTTGTCAAATGTATAGCAATAGGATTCCCCGAAGTGCTATTAGTCTAATTTATTTATAAGTCTAATAAATATTAGTCTAGTCCACCTGAACAGTGACCGAGATCCCACACAGCACATCCTGAGTTACAGACAGTAATTCTACCCGGAGGGTCCCCTCTTTCATACAGACTGATGGCAACAAGGTGTAGCTAAGGATTTCGATCCTGTGTTCCCAAACTCTAACCAGCAGCCAGTCTGGCCCCCTCAGGATCAGGCACATCCCAGGACAGTTCCGTTCTAGAGCCAGGACAGAATTGGTGCCAAGTCGGGACTGCAGGTTCTTCTTGTAACTCATCGAAGGTCATCCAAAACAGAAGAGGGGAGAAAACTCAGTTCGTTCATTTTGGGTCCGAAGTGCTGAGAACCTAAGGATAGGAAGGGATTGAGAAATCACCCGTCTAACTTCTATGCCAATGAAGAATCTCTTTCTTAACACATGTGATAGAAAACGTAGCCCCCACGTCCTGTCCTGCCACTCTCCAGGGAGGTCTGATGCATGACTGAAAGATGCTGTAAAACAAAAGCCACCGGCGTCCACTCTGACGCTGGGTGACCCCATCCTTGTCACGGACAACTGCTACGTAAGGTTTTCTCGGCCGCATTCTTTACCCTAGCAGATTGTCAGGCCTTTCTTCTGTGGCACAAATGGGCTATTTCAGGCTGCCTACCCTGTGGTTAGCCGGGGAGCACCACTAACACACTGAGTCAAGTGCGACTCACCGTGCTCCTTTATGACAGAGTCGAAGGGATCCTTGAGTTGCGAAGACGATCAGTCTGTAGAGGAGCATACAACTTCATCTTTCTCCTGCTTGCTTGGAGTTTTCCATGAAAAATAAAAACCATTGTCAACTGTAACTCACTGTAATTTGGTCTCCGGAACAGAAGTCAGCACTTTTAAAATAAGACAGTTGCTTTCCTGTCCAAGTTATACAACCCCTTGCTTCAAGGGCATCTGAGATGATGTGATTTCATGTTGTACCCGAGTAAGATTAATTAACCCGCACATAACTCTAATTGAAGCTAATAAGCCTTTATTAGGTGGTGCAAGGGGTGGCTACAGCCTAATTCTCCCTTGACCCTGAGTGCTTAAGAGGGGAGTTTTTAAATTGTGGAATAAAGAAGGCACAAGAGTAGGTAGTGTCATATATGGAAAAATGAGGGATTTTCCATAAAATTATTTTAAAATAAAACGGGGATTTACAAACAACATCAGCAATTTCAAAAATAAGTGGCAATGGGTCAGCAGTTACAGAGGGAATTATAATAGTTATAAAGTGGCCACACAGGTCAATACATAATGGCTCCACTCAAGTTAATTAACACAGTATGCTTACATGGACAAACTGGCTACCCTTGACTAATACATGATGGTGACATTGGGGTTAATTGTGGTGGGTTAGCACACTAGACCGATCGCTTTTGAAAATGATGAAACTCCCCTCTCCCTTGTCAAAGTATTTCAGTTCAAGCTCTATTAAGGGGTAAATGAGCAATGCTGACCTTTACTTTGAGCTCTGGTGGCATAGTTAGGCATTGTGCTGCTCCCCACTAGGTCAGCAGCGAAAAACCACCAGCGGCCGTGCCTCAGGAGAATGCGGAGGCTTGCTTTCTACTCCCAACAGGGGCAGTTCTGAGTCAGAATCCACATGATGGCAGTGAGCTGGGGCAACAACAGGTGCCTCCCAGAAAGTATTCAGAAATAAGAAAATCAATCTCCATACGCTAGTGACTAGTGGAGCCTATTGAATATATTCAGTGACAGTTTTGTAAATAATATTTTCACAATCCTCTTTGTTCAGTAAGATAAAAGTGTCTTGCATGCTTTCTTTCCTAAAGGTGAAGCCCTCCTCTAGCTTATTCTCTTTAGCATTAAGTGAGTTGTAATACATGGAAGCTTCCTGGTTTGTGTAACTCCGACAGGAATTCCATTGATGAGGTGAACAGCCTTCTTACTGTAAGTCCAGATCCACTACAGAAAATTTTAAAACATGTTTCAATTTTTGGAAATTAACAGAACTCCACATCCCACCCTCACATCAGAGTGATAACACAAGATAAAGATTTAATTATTATTTTAATTACACAATTTCCACTAACCCTATTCCACTAATTTCTTGCTAACCCTATCATTTTGGGTATCACAGCTTGAATGAATAATCTTTCATAATGATCAGCACAGAGCTGATTCCGAGGAGGGGATTCCTTTTCTCACAATTGCTACACCACACCATTATCTCTAAATCAGCTCCCCCTCCTCCCCTCTGTACCCGTCCTTCTTTTTTTTTTGGGGGGGGGGTCTGTACTTCACTGTAATGTCTCATAAAACACATAAACCTTCAAGAAAATGCTCCCAAGTTCATGGGTCAGGTATCAGGCTGGAAGCTTTCCCTGACTCACACAGGTACCAGGGCTTGATAAGCCCAAGTTGGTAAGACTGACTGACATGCTTCTAACTCACCAGGCTAAAGAGCAGTGGTTCTCAACCTTTGGGTCTCGACCCCTTTGGTGGTCAAATGACCCTTTTACAGGGGTCGCCGAAGACCAGCGGAAAACACATAAATATTTCACAAAATATAATTACATATTGTTTTGTGATGAATCACTATGCATTAATTATATTTAATTATGTTTAATTTGTAACAATGAAAATACATCCTGCATATCAGATACTGGCATTATGATTCATAACAGTGGCAAAATTATAGTTATGAAGTAGCAATGAAAATAATTTTATGCTTGGGGGTCACAACAACATGAGGAACTGTATTATAGGGTCGTGGCATTAGGAAAGTTGAGAACCAGTGCTATAAAGACTGGTGAATCAGGTCAGATGATAGATTGCTGGTTGGAGAACTAGAGATCACATAAGGACAAACCAGATGCAGAGTGCAGAACAAGTGATGAAATTTTGCCAGAACATTCAAATATATATTGTCTGTAGACCATACCCTCCAGGAACTTCCTCTTCTGAGCAGGGCAGTAAGTACAAGGGTGTGACTTGAATACGGCGGACAGGTGGGCAACAGAGGTAAGGCTGGTAACTCGTACGGCAGTGACTCACACACTTCCTACCCTAAATCCTGCCCATTAGCATAATGGACAACTCCCTTCAAAATGGGACCTTAATTACAAGCACTGAGGCTAAGACTTACAACACAATCTAAAATGAGACCACAAAATGGAGGGCAATCAAACCTTTACAGGAGCAGTATTTTGAAATTCCTATGAAACTGCAGTATTTTACCTCAAGACCCACCATAGAGTAGTGGGTACGTGTCCTGCTAACTAAAAGGTCAATGGTTCAAATGCAGAAGCCATTCCGTGGGAAAAAAGATATAGGAGTCTGCCTGGGAAATCCTATGGGCCAGTTCTTCCTATTTGGTCTTACAGGATCATTAGAGCCATCATCAAAATGACAGCCATTTGTTTACATTTTGAATTCATTTCCATAAAATTAAGGAAATGAAGAGAAGAAATGGTTTATAAGATGCATTAGAATGATACCTTAAAATCCAAAATGACAATGACGTACCCAGTAAACAGAAAGCCTCCCTAACCCACTGCCCTCTGCCCTCAAGTTGCTTCCAACTCACAGAGGCCCTTACAGCGTTTCTGACAGTCAATCTCAGCCCCATCTTCCTCCCCAAGAGTAGCTGCTGGATTTGAACCACCAACCCTCCAGTCAGCAGCAATTCAAGACTTTCCGGACAGTGCCCCTGTGGGTTCTACTACTTAAAGCCAACTCTTTTCCTATTGCCATTCAGCTGCATAACATTGGGCAACTAACTATAAAGTCAGCAGTTCGAAAACACCAGCTGCTCTAGAAGAGACAGAGGCGGCTTCTACTCCCATGAGAGTTACAGTCTCGGAAACTCTCAGGGGCATTTCTACCCTGTCCCATAGGGCCACTATGAGTTGGCATTGAAGGATGGCAGTGAGTTTGGTTTTTTTAGTCTATCGCCTGTCTTGCCTTATGAAACCAATTTACTACATGCAAAAGCACCTTGAAAATATCATGCATTATAAAGTGCAGAAAATTACTACTTTAAAATGCTTTCTTTTACTGCTTCTGGAATAACACCATTCATATTTCAATGGAAGGCAACTCTTTGCCTGTAAAGTGGTCCCTTTATTTATTTATTTATTTTTAAAATTTAAAATATTTTTTATTTTAATAAATCATTTTATTAGGGGCTCTTACAGCTAGCGTAACAATCCATTTTTAAAAGCCAAATGATGTTCCACCTTACTAGTAAGAAGAGCCTACCTTGGGCATTGAGCTCTTTTTTTTTTTAAACATTTTATTAGGGGCTCCTACAACTGTTATCCCAATCCATACACACATCAATTGTGTAAAGCGCATTTGTACATCGTTTCTCAAAAAATTTTCTCTCCACTTAAACCCCCGACATTAGGTCCTCATTTTTCCCCTCCCTTCCCGCTCCCCCCTCCCTCATGAGCCCTTGATAGTTTATAAATGGGTATTTTGTCATATCTTGCCCTGTCCGACGTCTCCCTTCACCCACTTTTCGGTTGTCTGTCCCCCAGGGAGGAGGTCACACACAGTTCCTTGTAATCGGTTCCCTCTTTCCTACCCATTATCCCTTTACCTTCCCTGTTTCGGAAGTGGTCCCTTTAAAAAGAACTCTAAAGCACTCGTTTGACAATCTGGTTATGATTCTGAAGTCAGAAGTCTTACTGTTCCTCTGGGGAGCAGGACATGGCACAAAGACATAAATGGCCACAAGTTCTAATCAATAACTTAATTAATAAAATGAAATGCCTTAGTAATTCTCCAAAATATAATAACAATTGTGAGGTCAAGATTTTGTGATATACAACTGAGGAGAAAACAAACAAACTTTCACTTAAATAGAAGCTTTTTCATGCAGAAAAACATCACATGACAACTGAAAATCAAATTTCTCATAAAGTCCTAGAACTTGCATCTTTAGGACAACATTTTGCCCAGGCTACCTTAGCCCCAGCTATATGCTGTCGCCTAGTATTTAGGTCCTTCAACCAAATGTTTAACTAAGAGTCTTATTTTCAGTTACAAAATGAGAATGTCTAAGGCCTCAATATTCAAAGGACAACCTAAGTGATGCTTTGATGTTCCGACAGGAAGAGTTTGGCATGCAGACTAGAACTATGTAATTATTAATATCTGACAAACTGCTCTCTCGTTGTATAGTCAAGAGGACACAGCATCACGACTGCACATTTTTTGGAAGCTGGAAGACAAGGAAAACAATCTGCAAGCATATCTTGTCAAGTACTTGTCAAGCACCGTTGTAGGCTATTGTTGCAGTCGTCATCCTGTTGATTCTAGGGCAGTTCCTTAGAACTGTTCCGTCTGAGGGTACTTGAAATCTTGGATGGAAGTGTTTAACGAATGGTTAGATATAAGTAAAGAATATTTTAGAGACAGCTTTAGTTTATCAATGTCAAATGCTGAAACTGTGAAAATTAGGTTTTCAGAGGTTGCCAAAGAGCTGGGTATTAATCAGAAATTATCTTCATCTGACTCATTGTCACTCTTGGGTTTTGTAAGTCTCTCCAGTTCTTCTCCATCCTATAAGGAAACAGAAAATTAACAAGAGACAGGCCCTTTTAAATAAAAGCTCAATGATAACTGATTCATGCCATGGGCTGTATTTAATTAGAGTACTAGTCCATGCTGCTTAAAGAGCCATGGTGGCATACTGGACGACACACTGGGCTGCTAACAACAAGAGCAGCTGTTCAAATTCACCAGCTGTTCCCGAGAAGGAAGATGAGGCTTTCTGCTCCTAAACAGATTTGCAGCCTTAGAAACACAGAGGGAACAACAGTTCTACTCTGTCTGATAGGGTCACTCTGAGTCAGAATCGACTCAGTGAGCTTTTATTTTCATCTGTTGCTTAGTGCCCTTGATATGCTCAGTGAAGTAGAATGTAATATAATTTTGGCATGTGCAAAACCTGTATTTCTTATTAAAATGTGAAAGCTATATTAAAACTTTATAGGGATCCTGCTTCTGACCATCCTTGTCTGAAGGACATTGCTGCAGCTGCTGATGCAGCTGCTGGCTCAGGCTGAGGAAGGGCCCACAGAAGCAGGTGCAGCAGGAGCAAGTGAGAGGGGAGGGGGCGGAGCACACTCAGCCAAAATTCTTCCCCCCACCTGAGCATCAGGTGCGGAGGAGGCCCAGCACTTGCTGCCACCCACCTTGCCCTCTATGGAGTCCCAAAACCCAAGCCTAGGAGAACCATGTCCGCTGCCTCACTTGACTGTATCCCACCTGGGTCCTGGTGCTATGAAAGGGTCTTTAAAATGATTAGAGGAAATTAATAAAAAGCAGAGTTGCTTTTCCTTTAACAAACAAAACTTAAATGGGACCATGGACAAGTGGTTGGATGGTGTCCCTAATGGACATTTTGTGATGCTTATCTGTCTCAATATCAACTGGTCAAATGAAATAACTATGTAAGTTTTTTGAAAGTTAATTTTAGAAGTGCACTGATATAAAAAAAATGCACAGTACTTGGGTTTCAAAGGCAACAATACGAACAACAGCACCCTCTGCTGGTTTTAAGGGGAAATATTAAAGGGTGGAGAAAGGTATAAATCAGGCACTCTCTGGTTGCTGCTACCATTAGGGTCAGCAGTTCGAAACCACCAGGTACTCTGCGGGGAAAAGATGAAGCTTTCCACTCTCATAACGAGTTCTGTCTCAGAAACCAGCAGCGAGCAGTTGGACCCTGTCCTATAGGGTGAGTTGGAATGAAGTTGACGGCAGTGTGGATTTAAAAGGTCTGGTGCTGTAGTGTGTTCAGCTGCTCACCACCACAAGGTCAACGGTCTGAATTCCCAGCTGCTCCACAGGAGGAAGAGGAAGGCCAGGCTGTCTACTCCTGGAAAGATTTAAAGTCGGAAACCCACAGAGGCCGTTTTAGTCTCTCCCATAGGCTTTCCATGGGTCGCAATCGACTCCGTGGCAGTGATTTTTGTTTGTTTTCTTACCTACATTGATTTTCTTTTACTCAAAAAGTAGGGCAAGCATTGCTGTCAGTCTATCGGTTGGGGGAAAACAATGTCTCCTGAGAGTAGATAATTTGGCACCTGAGCATCCAATTTTTGTCGTAAAACTGCAGTGTCACCAATTCAGGGGCCTTACACTAAGCTCTACTAGGAACTCGTAACAGGCAAGAGCTTCATTTTCTCAAGGAGTGAAATGTTTATGTAAGCAGTATTTCATATTTCGTGTATTTATGTAAACTGAAATCTAGAGCTAGAGGAATGGCTTATAATTTATTTAAACACATATATAATTTAACTCCCCATGGCAGTTACATAATCTATCAATTTATGCAGGGGTGGAGTCTAGCCTGTCAATCGGGTCACAGCCAATGAGGTCTCTGTGTGAGCGTCTGGCCTTCTCCTACGGACTCTGGGAGCTCTTGTCTTCTCCCTGGAGACAAGACACATACTTGCTGGGAGACTTTCCTAATGACAAGCCTGATGGAGCTACTCTGGAGCCAGAGGAGCCACACAGAGACTCAAACTAACGCTAAGATGCTTCCATTGCTGAGATGCTTCCACTGCCACTGGATCCACGAGACTTTCCACCCACTGGCCTGTGATCTTCCTGCATTCAGCGACATTGCATAGGTTGAAGGAGTCTGACAGGAATTTATAGGCTAGTATCATATACATATGGGCTATATCCAGACTACTGGACTTGATCTGGACTGGGCTGGGATGTTTTCTTAATATATAATTACTCTTTATATAAAGCTCTTTCTTATACACATACGAATGTCTATTAATTGGTTTCTCTAGTCAACCCGGACTAACACACTCCCTAAAGGCATCTCCAAGTGATAATTAATTTGCTATTAACATGACTGAGAGAGCCTTCTAAAAACAACTAGGCAATTGGCAGATATTCAGAATCGCAGCATAAGCATTTGTCTACAAAATCTTTCTCTTCCATTTGCAGAGACCTTGGTGAGATCAGTAGGCTTTGCTCTTCTAGAATGCTGGTTTACCATCAAGTCACTACAGGGAGAATCAGGAGCCAGGCTCTTTACTTAACAAGACTTATCAATGGCATAAGATCACGTTTTCTTATGAATGAGGCTTTTCTCTACAGCTGAGGTAAAGTGGAAATAAGAGTGGAATAGAAGTCAGGCCCTATGGATCTAATTCTGGTTCTTTTATTAGCGGTAAACCACTTTGCCTGAGTTGGCTTCTACCTAGGGGGACAGGCCAAGATACCGTAACTTGCGAAGCATCTTCTGGCTCTGTGATGCCACACATTCCTAAGGTCCTCGAGGCTCAGATTTATACTACTCTTTTGCTCTGCACTCAAGTTACTACAGGAGGATTATCTTTCAGTCACCGACATCCAATGCATTCTTTATTAAGGAAAAAAAAAAAAAAAAAAAGCAGCATCCTCACAACTTACCCCGCTGGAACGCTCCCGGAGAATGCAGCTCAGATCGCGGAGCCTGTCTTGCCTAGGTGCGTACTCCAGACCTGAAGGCTTACTGGCATTATAAATAAATATTGAGAGGAGGACTGACGGGGCCTCCAAGAAAAACTCCAGGGAGGGCCTGAAGTCGAACACCAGGACAGACACTGTTGTGATGATGACAGTGGTGACCTGAGCCATCAAGACATGGAACATGTTGTCCAGGAACTTGAGGATGAAAGCCACCGAGAGGCCCTGCAAGGCGGTGACAAATATAAGGGCGACTGAAAATGCATTGTGGCCATAAAAAAATCCACAGTTCTGCACCTGATCCCGTTTCCTGCTTTGCAGGCCCAGGGTGAGCGCGTTAAAAAGAACGCCAAAGAAATAGAGCTTGCTGTTCTGAATGAAGATGCTTTCCGTGAGCTGGTCCCCCTCCTTCAGTATCTTCTCATTATAGATATTGGCCATGGAGGAAATGAAACACTGCACGATAATAAGAACATGGCCCAGGCCAAGGCGGAAGTGACTGAAAACCCTGGCCGTGGTGTTCCACCCGGTTTCCGGAAAAGTCCACTCCTTTGCTGTGGTATTGCCATTTCTGGGGTGCTCCTCTCTGAAGAGCAGGCAGGAATTGGATGGGCGGAAGAAGGCATCATGATGAAACCCATGTCCTGCTAAGTCATGCTGTGAAGTTGTGGTTCCAGCAGTCAGGGCCACGATAGACAAAAACAGGATCAGGAGGGAGGCCCACTGTATCCAGTTTAGATGCCGCCTGTTCAAAGATGAACACAAGATTTTACTCCCGTTGTTTCCATTTGCTTTATCAATTATTTCAACTGACAAATCAGACACTCAAGGGTGCAGCTGGACAAACGAATTGCTAGCATTCCCCACAATTCAGGCTTGAAGGAGAAGTTGGCTCCGCTGCTTCATAAACATGGTAACTTTTCTTCTCTAGTAGCTCTCCCTTAGAGACAAAGAGCCACTTCTCTTTGTAGCCTTTTGGTCAACCTCGAGGCTTTACGCACTAAGCCTTCTTTTCACATCCAGAGGCGATCTTCGGCTGGGGCAGCACTTATCATGTAAATAATACCTATTCTTGATTTGTCTATGATATCGTGTGCTGTCTATAACTTATTTGCTCTAAAGTAAGTTATATCAAGGATTGTTAACCTGGTGCTCATGTGTCAGAAAGTATGTGGGTGAGCTTTAGGAACCTGTGAATTCTTGCATTGGTTTTCATCTTCTACATCTATCGGTGAACTTCTCCCTGCTAGGAAGAGTCTTCAAAGTTTTGTCAAATCTTCAAAGCTAAGCTTCTCATGAGCCAAAAAAGATTTAGGGAGGAAGCTAGCTCTTGAATCCATGATCTAACCATAAGACATTCATTATTCAGTAAACTGCTGGCTGATTAAGCAAGAGGGGGGGAAAAAGTCTTTTGGGCAATGTTCCATAGTTTACAAAGTCCTAACGATGTTCTTGCTTTTTTAAAGGAGGGAGCTAACAACAAACTTATGAGATACAGTAGAAAAGTATTATGATTGTTCCACTTTGTTGTTGACTTACATTGAATAAGCAATCACTACGTTCTAGATATCTGGGGGAATCAACACTTAATCTCCATCCTTAGGATTCTGGACTTCAATAAGGGAAACAGCCAGGATGCTAACTAGGAAGAGGGGTGAATCATGATCTTTTGGGCCTTCCTCTGGATCAATGCACCCCTCAAACATAATTCTGAGCTCTCAAACTTCCTAAGTAGGCAGATGTATCTGCTTTCACCAAGGTTCAATAAAGTCTGCTACTGTGCCGCTGTCAAATGATTAGCCCAATCGAGTAGCACATCGGGTACACTTCCACTGCTACATGTCTTCTGTGTGTATGTCATTCTCAAAGTCCCAGAGCTAAACTTGGTGATGCGGGTAAGCATAAGCCTTTGCTAGGAGGTCACAAGAGATGTTTAATCTCTGAAGGTGTATATGTATCTGGTATATATAAAGCAGCAGAAAGGAATGAGAGTGGACAAAAGTAGAGACAAGAAATGGATGCCCAATTAATTTTTTTAAAATAAGTGAGTTACAGACAAATGAGGAATGATATATTCTACAATCTATTTCTTGAAGTTTTTGCCACATGACCTCAATATTAGATGTGTATATAGGCTATACATGATTATTTAAAATAATACACTATGAGTAGAAAAATTAAGTTCAGCAGTTCAGAAGAAATTATTAAAGACAAATCACAAAAGTATTACACTCAATTTATGTATACTCACTACCTTCAAGTAGATTCTGATAGAACTGCTGACGGCCTCATCTTTTCTGACAGAGCAGCTGGTGGGTTCAAATTGCCAACTGTTGTTACTAACAAACAGAGCACTGAGCCTACTGCGCCTGTAAATCATGCCTCACGCACTGCCACTGAGAGGATTTCAACTCACACTTACCTTCACATGGGAGAGTAGAGCTGTGAGTTTCCAAGACTGTAAATCCTTCTGGGAGTAAAGCCCCAAGGAAGAGCTGGTGCTTTCTAACTGCTGAACTTGTAGGGAGTAGCCCAGCGTGTAACCCACTACACATCACCGGGGCTCCTCTGAATTAGGTATAGGTGAGTGAATACAAAAGACTAGGGGGAAAACAATAAAAATGCTCGGACAATTCTACTTGAAAGTATTTTTAAGGCCTGTTCCACTCCCCCCCCAAAAAAGTGCAATCAGAAATAATGGATGACGCAAAATGTGTTCCTTCATGTAAGAAAACTGAATTTTAGTCCACAAACATCACTCATATTCAAAGGCAACGTTGACACCAAAGAGAATGCCTGACTAAAAGTCCACTTGGAGATTTTAAGTTAAAATAAAGGTACCTCTTTGATTTGATACTTCAAGGAGTTTTCTTGCACAAGGATGTATAAATGGTGTTCAGTACGAGCATGCTGATCCTACTCGGTGGCGTAAGCTACGGAGGATCCTGAGAACGAAGAAGTGGCAAGCCCTGCACAACTGCTGCCCCAGCAACCACATAACCCCGTTCTCAGCAGGCACAGGGTGGCTGGCAGCAAAGTTATCAAAGATTAGAAAGACTTATCGAGTGAATGACTGTGAAGAACAGGCCACGACTACAAGGGATCACCCCACCTTTATTGGGGGGTTTGACAGCAACCACATTTGACTCAAACTTTCCAAGATACCTATCGTATGCTTCAAAACATTTTCTAAATGATGTTTTCCAAAGCTTCTCTTTGAAGACATCAGAGAAACGTAAGTATTTTCTTTTTGTAAAAGTGAGTGCTTGTCTTGGTTACCTTTTGCCCTAAACTTCAAGGTCAGGAGGGTATTATTTCTCAAAGCCACGTCAAACAGGGCTGCAGGGTGCCGACCCCATTTCCTACGTCCCCGTGGACACGCTTCAGTGAGCAATGAGCACATCCGAGTGTCTCTCCAGGAAAGAAGAGAACATCAGCAGGGTTGACCCCTGTCTTCTTCCCACTTCCAAAGTCCTCCAGCCAGTAACCTGAGCATTCATCACGACATTTAGTTTGTCCTACTTCTGTAGCCTCATAGTCTTTAACTGTATAAGAAAAGGTGTTTGATGGCTTTGTTAGAGGCAAGTATCCAAGATAAATGCTTTACTAATCTAAGTGAAAGATGAATTATGTATGGCAAACAAGAACATGTGCTAGAATGCTTACACTGCTATCCCATAATCGATATATCATTGCACACAGCAAGATATTCAGCTATTCATAAAGAATTATAGAACAACATATATCACACCAACAAAAAGATAAAAAAAAGAACAAATATTAAATGACTTAAGGTGAATAAAAGATAGTACTTCAAAGACATTCTCACAAAAGGTGTTAGTTGCCATTGAGTGGACTCTGACTCATAGCTACCCCACGTCCAGCATAATAAAGGGAATAGTATTACTTATCACACTTTATCTTAGAGCAGCTTCTCAGTGGATTTTTGAATTGGTAAAATTAAGATCCACCCAGTAAGCTAACTTAGTGCCTGTGAAAATAGAATGGAGTTTATATTGTGCCTTTAATGTAGTTAAATATTCATTCAGAGATGCTGAAACCAATGCAAATGCATAACTAGCCACCTGTAAGATTGCACTAAGATTAACAGTACATAAAAATGTTAATTAGAAAATATACCATTTATGTATTAAAAGCAAACATTTAAAATTTACAGGGCAAATAGACTTGATTTGGTTAAACTAAGAATTTTCTTACTAGAAATAGTTAAATGGTTAGAGTTTTAATAGGGGATATTTTAAAATGAGGCATACCTAGGGTTACTGGCCAACTTCAAGTATTATCTCCTCTTTGCTAAATTTAATTTTAATATGTAATTTTACACAGTACTTGCATACTGTAGCCTTTACATAGTACTTATGTATTGAATGTGTAGCCACACATTGTCATTCATAGGAAAACTCATTACTTTAAAATCACATTTTTTAATCCTTTACTCCTTTACTAGCAAGCATTATGTCTTGCAGTCATTTTTTCCCCTAGAAATCCATTTCTAATTTTATCAAAGCACTCAATTGCGTATTCACTTTCTCAATAGCCAAAGACAAGTATAAAACTGAGAAACACCACAACAAATATGACAAGGTGCTTTTATTTTTACCATCATCATGGTGATTTCCCAAGACTTCAAATCATGTTGAATGGTGTTCTTTAAATTATTAGCTAATTATTTCCACAATTTATAAATGAAGATGATGCATAATGCAAGTTTCAATGTACTTGAACATTTGAACTGGACAAAATGGGAAACTCACTCCCTTTTCCCCCATCTTTCATATTAACTATTAAACCGAATGTTTCCTTGGGGCCAAAAAAAAAAAAAAGTTTCAGAAATTCCCCAGCGCAGAGAACATGGCCTCATCAATCCACCTAAGAAACTGACGTTCACACCTGTGCGCCAAGCCATTCTTCCTTCTCTACACATTATAAAAACACACTCGCACAAAGCACACTGAGAAACAAGGAATTATAAAAGTGCAATTAAACAAGGAATTACACAAGTGCAAAACTGAGAAATGCCACGACAAATATGACAAGAAGGTGCTTTTATTTTTACCATCATCATGGAACAAGTTAAACGGCAGTCAAGTATCCAGATCGGGTGCCGCCCCCACCGCCAGTCCCTTTCTGGACAATCCTATCCTGGCCTTTCCTTCCAAGCAGAGCCTAGTTCCCTAAACATGTTTCTAGTCTGCAGTGGTCCTCCTGGGCTGGAAAAGGCTGAGGAAGGCATTTTGAAAAACATAAAAATCTATCGTTATTACCTCAAATTTCTCATGTGAATCCAGCCCATGAAAGCTTACAGTAGGCACTCACCTCGAGAGTGCAATGACAAATGTGTCTCCATGCTCTCATGAGGGGGCCTGCTAGCAGAGTGGCCAGGAGCCGGGCGCTCGCCATAAGCTCAGCATTTCAAAGCCACTCACCACTGCTCGGAAGCCGGGGCTCTCTACTCCTGTCAACAGTTACAGTCTGGACACCCAGGCAGACAGGTCTACTATAAGGTCAGAATGTACTTGAAGGCAGTGAATTTGTATTTTTGTTTTGATCCTTTCCGAGTTACCAATGTATTCATTCTAAGAACCCTGTGGCTTCCCCCAAATGCACAGAGATTCTACAAAAGCTTGTGACCCCTCCCACCCCCCGAAACTCTGGCACTAAAGTTTAAAATACCAATTATAACCCATACACCCATACAACTATCTTTTTCATGATGCTCAAAATTTCCCTACATCTCATCCCAGAGGAGTTAGCCAGGCTAGCTTTCCAGCTGGGAGAAACAACTTCTTCACCCACCAACCCAACCAGGACTAAAACGGAGGCCTTCGGAGCCTGAAGGCTGTGCTCTGAGTGTATGAACTCAAAGGAGGCCGGGCCATTTCAAAGTGCAATTTATGCTTCCACGGCAAGTTACTTACTTCAGCACTATCCTGAACAGAAGAGCTGTTGTGATAATGCTAAAATTTGAGAAGAGAACAGCCATGGCCTGGAAAGAAAGGGAAGACAGAGTTACAACCCAAACAAAGCAGTGACCTCAGAAATCTCCCAGCTGGGTGGTTCACCTCATGGACACACACAAAAAGCTTGGTTGTAAAAAAAAAAAAAAAAAAAAAAAAAGCAGGGTTATTTGGGCAGCTATTTCACTAGAGGAGTAAATCTCATTTTTATTGATTGCTGAATTTATTCCGAAATGACCAAATCATTGCAAAGGCTTTGAAAATAATGTAGTTAAATCCAGCAAATGCCTGAAAAGAATCTGCATGTGCAATCTGAAGGTACTCAAACTAACAGTCTGCTCAGACACTGAGGGCTGTCCCACTCAGGAAGCACACTCTGTCCAGCTCTGACTGTGCTTCCATGGCCAGAGAGAGGTCAGGCACTGGTAGGCCCACTTACCTGGTAAGAAAATGGAGGCATGGGCTTGTGAGCATCTTTACCTTCAAAGATCATCAATTTTCTTGGTTGAACAGAAGTCACTCAATTCCAAACTAATCATTGACAGTCTGATTTACATGTAACTTTAAACAGTTAGGAATGTACTATGCTAGATTTCATAGTTTACTTTGTGAATTCAGCATAGTTCACACCTGAAAGCATTCATCAGAGTAGGTATAGACTTGGTGGGTTGGGCTGCTAACCACAAGGTCAGCAGTTCAGAACCATCATTCACTTTGCAGGAGGAAGACGAGACTTCCTACTCATGTAGAAATGCACAGGCTCGGAAACCCAGAGCGGTAGTTCTGCTCCGTCCTGCAGGGCGGCTCTGGTTGGAATGAACTCAATTGAGTTTGGTTGCTCAGAAAGAATGGAATTCGACTACTGCTCCTCAAAACTACATTTAACAGTATTAACACAATCACGTAACACATGCTCGACTGACTTCTCACTTACTTTCCACCTGGCTATCATCTTTAAGATGATTAAACCCTGAAGACTATCTATAACTATAACTTCTACAGACTACCTACAACTTCTATCACCTATGATAGCAGACATGGCTCATCAAAAGCAGAGTGTAGGAAACATCTAGCAACAACTCCAAGTATCTACTATTGGAGTTAGAATAAAATGTATGGAAATTCCCATTTTCAGTGCATCTCTGCAGAGAACACTACTTTATAACCCCCCCACCCCCACCCCCGTTAGATGACCAGGTGAAGAGGAAATAAAACGTGGCCCAGAAGAGTGCAGAAGTGGTGGCTGTGATCAAACCTAACAATGGCAGGACAGTCACTTCGAACCAGCAGACGGGCTGGCCTGATCAGCGCTGAAGACGCCAGTCAAATACTTAAATCAAGTGGTGCAGCAAAAATGAAGCACCAGAGCCCTCTGCCCACAACCTCCTCTGCACCTCTCCTTCAGTCCACCTCCACGGGCCCAGGCACAGAAATACCATTAGTGTGGTGGCTGGTACTGTGTAACGCCCGTGGTCGGACAGTCAGGAAGGAAGAGCACAGTAAACGCCTGCAAGAACAAGGACGCTGCAATCTTCCAGCAGCGCACAAAACATCTGATTCTGAACCAGCTTGCTTCATACAAAGAACTACAACAAACCTATGTTTATTTGACATGAGTACGTTTGTCGTTGGGTAGGACGAGGCTCAGATTTGGGGGTGGGAGCGAGGTGGAGGGGGTGGAGAGAATAATTTAGAGGCGAATAAAAGCTGGGCAAACACTCTGATTCCAATGCATAGCAACCCTATAGGACATGGCACTGCTACTTAGGGTTTCTGTGACTGTAAACTCATTTGGCCAACTGCCCCCTTTACACAATAAATAAATAAACAAACATTTCCCTGGCAATTGAAAACTTTACTATGGCCCTATAATCTAGGGTTAAAGTGTGGATACCTGTTTTTGCAGTCTCTCCCCACTTGCCCCTGATCGCTCAACTCCCAATTGCCCACTTTAGGAAACACTAATAATCCTTATGGGAGCTGGGAGCCTAGCCTTTCTCGTGTAGAGTGGCAAATCCACTTGAATCAACAACTCTTGAGGTTAGAAGCCCAAGGTTTAACTTATTAGACTACCAAGCCTCCTTCTACTAACATGGATCGCAGAGCAAAAGGAACTTTCAGTGGCCAACTGCCCCAGGTTCCTGCCTTGGGCCCGTGTGGTATCACTGTTCTAGTTCTATCGAAGCTGCAGCAACTGACACTCAGGGCAGTTGGGATTTGCCAGTTACACAGCTTTACAGTAGTGGGAAAGAGTCACTCTGCTGTGCTGAGCTGAAGTGCTCTTTCGCTACTGAACAATCCTCTTCCTACTCTAAAAGCGAGCTGCTTATGTGACGGGGCTTCAAAAAGGTCATGAAAAAAAATTCCATTATCCTTTTTTTAAGGGTGCCCTCTATTATCTTTTAATTCCATTTTCCCACAACTTTTGTGAATCAGCCTCTGTGTATTTACTAGCTTTATGTGGAGGACCGAGGCCTCTAAAAAGCTAATCCTAATCAAAACGCCTTTATATATATTTTTAAAAAATGTAAAACATTTTGGCAAAAAAAGTTTGAATTTGTAAATATTGGGAGAAAGTGTATACATTAGAAAAAAGTAGATATACATGCAACTCCTCAAACTGAATAATAAATAAAGGCAGAAGACCAAGCAGTGGCTTCCAATGACTAATGGCTCTCCCAGTTGAGAAAACGGATGCTGAGAGTGATGGAAGTATCTTAGCATATGAATTATAAATAGCACTCATCCTTGAGAGGATGTGATTCCTAGCTTCAGACAACTTATTAAACAAACAAAAAAACATGAGCGCAAGCAAACATTATTATGTGGGAAACTGGGAAGAGTACCAAACACATTTTGTTTGGTACACAAACTCATGACCGTATGCATTGGAATCCCATTAACAGTACTTTTTAACTTAACCCTGTACAAACAGAATATATATAATGTATATTAAAGTACTGATAAAGTGGCAAAGTTCAGAAGGGTTAGGAAAGGAGACATGGAAATGGACCAGAAAGGGAGAGTAAGACAAATGATGGTACGTTGTGGAAACTGCAAACAAGGGCATGAATAAAATGTGTATGAACTGTTGAATGGAAATCAGATTTGCTCTGTACATCGTCACCCAAGTCACAATAAAAAGTCTAAAAAGAGTTTAGAATTTTAAAAAATGGGTGAGATAAGGGGGAAAAGGAGAAGTACACAGATGGTCTAATACTCGGAAGTCTGAGCCCAAGGCCTTGAAACTGAAGTCATTGTTGGAGGCTCAGCAATTAGGCAGAGTGAATAAGGTCACAGAGGGAGGCTTTGGTGCCAGGCACCCACAGGGCAAATCTGACAGCCATAAGCACAGTTACATATATTAATGTGTGACAGCGGGAGGATCTGGGAAGCAGATGGGCAATTCCGTGTGCAGAAGATTCTGGGAAAACCCCAGGAGAGCCAGTGAAGGAAATGGAAAGCTAAGAATGCATGGGAAATGATGAAAAAGGAAGTGTAGGTAATGGAATTCAATTTTTCATAACATTTCATTGTTCTTTTCTTGGATATGTACTTACAGGCTGAAGATAGGATAAGACATAGAACACAATCAAATTATCCAGGAAATACAGAAAGGCAGGAATGGACCACTTCATAAAATTGAAGAATTGCTTCCAGGAACCACATCTAAAATGTCGACTTTGAAGATCTTCTAAAAAAACAAAACAAAAGCAATATAGCAATAAGCAAGCAGTCCTAACAGGAAAGCTCATATATTTAGTGAAAGTAAGTAGATCTGATTACTGACACAATTCCTTAGAAGTGGCTTTGTGCACTTGCCTCCATAAATAACTACTAGGCTTAAGAAATCAATGCCAGTACAGCACTTTATTACTGTCTTTCTTTATGCCTCTGTTGAGCTTCACCATGGACAACCCAGAACAGATTTAGGATGTCAGTACTCTGAATCCCTGTTAACTTGAGATAGCAGGAGGGTATGTCCAAAATGCTCCCAGAGTTCCAGCTCAGACATTCATGAATTTATTCCAAACAAAATGTGTTTACACTTGTCTCCGCCAAGGATGGCTTGCAGGCAAGTTCCCGCAATAATACACCGTCTCAGTCTCTACTGGAGTGACTTCCAAAAAATAATTGAATCAAAACAGTGACTTTGACAAAAATCTGTAGTTGTGGTAGGAGGCTATCCATTCTGCCAAACACTTGATGCCTTATATAATTAATCATTTGAGGAATTAGCACCACTTTTGATATGTGTGGAAACTGAAGCTTAGAGACTTTAATAAGTCATCTGCCTCAGAACACTCTCTCAAATGCCAGTGAGCTACTCCATGTGTCCTGCAGGAAAAGGGCACTGGAATATTTCCACATGCTACTTGTCAAATAAGACAGCAGAGTGATTGAGATGGATCCTGACTTGGAAGAAAACTCACATGTTATGCGATCCACCATAAAAACAAGGTAGAGTAATGGTAAAGATACAGAAAAACCTGGGGTGGAGTCCAGGCTCCGCTCCTTCCTACCCACCCTGTCTGTCCACCTGCAGCATGTGGGTTGTCATAAAGAGTTGCGAGCTCACAAGAAAATCAATGCTTAAACATCTGTCGATGCCATCCTGGTCTGCCAGCATTAATAACGATGCCTACCATTATTCTGAGATAGCATCCGGATTGCACTTTTGCTTCCCTCTATGTAAAATTAATGAAGTATTTTCACCTCTAAAATACTTTGATCTTGTGGTTTTTAACAGAGATGTGGTATCATTTCAAGACTCACCTTTCTTTATAACCCAGAACGACACAAGCACACAGAAAACAAGCTTGACCAGTTCTGAGCAAACATTCACAGTAGTTGGAAGATAATCGTATTTGTTCTCTGTAACAGAAATGATTATTATTAACTATTTTACTATAATGATTCCACACAGTTAATAATTTGCACATACTTTTAAACTTAAAAGTTGGATTTCAATATAGGTTTTACTCAACCTTACCCAGTTGGTTTTGCTTTTTTGGATTCCTAAGTAAATTCATCTAATGTATTAACTATCACTACCCTATTTAACTTTTTTATTATCCTTGAATTTGATCAACATACCTCTCATATTCTCATCCAAGCTGCTGGTAAATTTGTTGAGAAGGCTAGAGCCAGGGGCAAAGAAAACTAAGAAAAATAAATGTCATGGCGTTAAGTACAAGTTTCTACACTGACCATTAATGTAGATTAATGGGACCTGGCTTGTCAACTAATTACAAAATCTAGCTGAATTATTATCCAGCTCATGATTTTTCTTGGGTGACTACCTTGCCAAAATCAAGACACAACTCAGTTTATTTTCTTAACTCAGAGTTTTACAATTTATTTCACATTGGGATACATAGAGAAAATGTCAGTATTTCCTTGGGATCAAAGTTTTTTTGGGGTGCAAGAAGGAAGCTAAGGCAAGAGGCAGCTGGTCCAGCACCCTGCCTGTCCCTAGGGCTGCGAGGAAATACTTGGGCAGCTATGTTCTAACTTACGGGCCAATCTAATTAGGAAGTGAGGTTTGGTTAGCACACCTTGGTCCTAGCAGTTACTCCAACCAACTTAGTTCATAATTTTGCCAAAAGCAAGAATAAACTTTATCAGATCCAATGCATAGGAATGGATTTTCCTTCCTTTGAGAATATTTGTTCATTTCTCTTGGTCATCGTACCAAAAACCCAAACTAGCAAAGTAAGGATGAAAAAAGCCTGGTTGACCTTCTCTCTGGCCATGAACTTCTTTCTTCCTCATTTCTAAAGTTTCCCCTGCCCTTCTGGACCCACTGACTCAACTCTGTATTCATCCTTGCTCCTGAAGCACCCTGTACACTTCTGTACCCATTTTTGTCACAATGTATTCGAGTTGTTATTCAGTTATCTGCTTTCCCCTGGAATGTAAACTCAGGAGTCACAAAGAATAAGGATGGAGCTGCAGGCCTCATGGAACTTAGCAGCTAAAACTATGTAACCTCTCCCGACTCTGCCCATTGCTTTTCCTCCTAATAGTCCCAGCTCAGCTGGGACACCATCAATTTACCCAACATACACACCCGAAATCTTTGAGCTATGCCAAGGTTTTAATCGCTAACCCTCATATTTAGGACATCCTCCTATGTATTCTCCAATCCACATTCTGCTGTAAGCTACAAAGTCTTAATCATCTGTGGCAGGAATTGGCAAAAACACCTTACCTGGTGGCTATCTTGTTTCTAGTCTCTTCCTTTTCAGTCAATCCTCCACCCAACTGCCACAGCTATCATTCTAGCTATTACCCCTATTTGTCATACTGCAAGCATTACTTGAAGCCCTGCACTATTGCTACTACCTGTCCAGCAAGCACACCTTCACCCTCGCCCAAATTTTTAACCCTCAACTACCTGTTGCCTGCACAGCCTGCGTTATTACACCTCTACTCCTTTGTATCAGCAGCCCTGGTGATACTATGGGTTAGGCACGGGGCAGCTAACAGCAAACCACAAGCCGCTCCAGGGGAGAAAGATGAGCCTGTGTTCTAGTAAAGGGTGCTACGGCAAGTCAGAATCAACTTCACGGGAGAGGGTTTAGTTTGGAATTCCTTTTGATAAGCTGGTGCCTAGTTTGTCTTCTTGTGTATCAAATGTCACCTAACTAGGGAAGTGTTCCCTGACCCTTCTGAACTCTGCACCACCCCCTCCAAAACAGAGTATTATTACTTTCTCCCCTCGCCTATGATGGTACCTCCGGTTTATTTTTAAGGAGCTCCAGTAGTACAGTGGTGAAGCACTTAGTTTGCGAATAAAAGGTTGACTGTGAACTACAAGTGACTCAATAAGCAAGGTGTGTCAGCCTGCTTCTGCAAAGATTCCTGCCTCGGACTCCCCACGGGGCACTATGAGTCAGAATCAACGCAACAGCAGGAAGCCTGATTGATTTGACTGCTTTAATGCATTGATTATATTTTCATGGTGTGTTTACATGAACGTCTCCTTTAAGAAAATGAGCTTTTAAGGGCAAAGTCCTTGTTTTACGTACTTTGAAAGCTACTAGTAACTTAGCCCAGTGCCTGGCAGATAAATGTTAACGGAGAGACTTGAATACATATCTGACTCCTAAGTTCATTTTTAAGAGTCAAATATCATTATTTTGTGTGTCCTCAGTAAGGAGTAAGAGGTACTCTACTCAGTTTTGTGGAATTAAACGACATTTACTTAAATACAAATTATTACATTAAAAAGAGAGCATTTCCTACATACTTGTCAAAGCTGGCGATCTGTCCTGTTTTATTGTCCCATTAATATAGCACCTCACAAATGCCAGACGTCCAAAGAGATCTATCCTGCTGCTTTCCAAATAAGCTATAATTATGTATATTGTTATAGGCCTAGAAACACCTGTTGATTGAAGCAATACTCATGTGTAACCATCTGATATGTGTCAAAGGATTATGATTCTGTAGTTGAGTGATCCAAATTTCACCCTGGCTTCAAATTCTTCTTGTTAAATGGCCTAATGAATATAGTTTTCATATGCTTTATCACTCATATGAAGTAGGGTACTTAGTAGGATATTATGATCTCATTTCATCTCCTTTTATCGGAGGACATTAGAGACAACAGTGGGAAGTGCGCTATACATAGTCATGTCTTACCTTACCTTCATTGGCGGAGTATTTCACCAGTAGGATTCGACTTGAGCTTAAAGCAATGAATATAGCTCCCAGCAGGAATGTATACATTGTTGACAGAGAGCAGAGCACAGGAAGATCACAGCACCTGTGTTCCATTCCTTTGGTTTTTAATTTTCTTGGAGAGAAGAACATTTTCATGAGCAAATATCTCATTATATCTATATAAAATGCAGGAATTTTAGGAAAAGTTTCCTGGGAGATGCAAATGTTAAGGACACTGAAAAAAATACCATGGATCTCTGAATAGAAAAGACTTTTTTTTTAAGCTCTCTGGTTATAACTATATAGGAAAAGAGAATAGAAAAATGCATGGGAAACTACAAGTGAAAGGAGATGAAAAAGATAAAATCAACTAGAAAGGGGACTCTAAAGACAGAAAAGTGGGGCCAGATTAGCAGAACCGACAAAAAACCTGACATTTTAGGACTAGACTGGAACGGGTAAGGTCAACTGCAAGAAAGCAAGCTTTTCTGCATTCTGGAGAAGGCATCCATAAAGGCATAGGAACCACTACTTGCTAAAACAACAGTTGACAACTGGGTGTGATTTTGTCCCAAGGGGATATTTGCCAATGTCTGGAGTCATTTTGAAGCACTTGCTGATGACTGATGATGAACAAGGATGACAGCCTTCAATATGGATTACAATTCAATGTAAAGGGAACAAGAATCCTCACAACTGGACAAAGAGACAGCATGAAGGCACATGGAGAAAAGACTGAGGTTGTCAAGGATTTCGTCTTGCTGGATCTAAAATCAACGCTCATGGAAGCAGCAGTTAAGAAATCAAATGAAGCGTTGCATTAGGTAACTCTGTTACACAAAACATCTTTAAAGTTTTGAAAAGCAAGGATTGTTTTGAGAATTATGGTGTGCCTGATCCAAGTAATGATATTCTCAATTGCCTCATATGCATTTGAAAATTGGATATTGAGTAAGCAAAATTGAAAAAGAACCAATGCATATGAATTACGGTGCTGGCAAAAAATATTAAAAGTACCATGGACTGACAAAAGAACAATCAAATCTGTTTTGGAAGAAGTACCACCACAAGGCTCCTTAGAAATAAGGATGGGGGGAAAAAAGAAATAAGGATGGAGAAATTTCACCTCATGTACTTTGGACATGTTATCAGGAGAGACAAGAAGATCATGCTTGGGAAAGGAAAGGGGTAGTGAAAGAGGTTACGATTCTCGATGAGCTGAATTAACATAGTGAGTGGCTACAATGATGGGCTTAAACATAAGAACAACTGTGGGGACTGCACTGGAGTGAGTGATGTCTCATTTTGCTGTGCATCGGATCGCTATGAGTTGAGGGGGGCCAACCTCCAAAACCGAATAGGTCCTAAGGTGCGGTTGTGTAATTGAAGGGTCAATTAAAGAAATATCAGACAAGGCATGCAAGGGCTCACCTCTTCCATGGAGACTGTAACCAGAGAGAGGGAGAGCTAATGTATTCTCCCATGTTTAGTCTGGGCTAGCAAGTCTCCCACCCCCACCCCAAGAACATTAGTAACAGAAAAGGGAGGTACTAGGAGCTTACATGGGACAGGAAGGCAAAAAAGTAACAAGGTGGCTGGTTCTGGAGTGAAGATGGCGGCTTAACCTGGGCCATCCCTGAAATGACCTGAGGTGTCCCAGGGCTCTTCTCCAGGGGAGCCATCTATGATCTTTACCAGAAGGGAGTTGGCTGATCCTAGGATGGGTGAACAATAGGGTCTGCACAGCAGATAGTCTCTGGGCATACTAAAGAGCAGCAAGTGCTTAATAGGAACATCTTTAAATAACCTATTATGGGGAGGGGAGACATGGGGATGATTTTTAGTCAGGAGAATGTGACTGGGATTCATCTCCAACTCACAAATATGAAGGCCTTCCTCCACCAGGGTCTGCCTCCCAGATTCTTTAAATATGACTGTAGAGAATTTGTTCCCATACACTCTCTTCCGGTTCTCGGTTTCCCACCATGAGTCAGAACCGACTTGATGGCACCTAACAACAGAGACATTTTTGGTTATCACAATTGGGTGTGATTGGTAGAGGTCAGGGATGTTACTAAACATCCTACAAGGCACAGGGAAGTTGCTACTCCCATCAAAACATTGTGGTGTTATTGCTGAGAGCCATTAAGTTGGGTCTGACAAATAAAGATCTTCTATACAACACAAAATAGCAAAGTGTTGTTTGCTCCTGCACCTTCCTCACGCCCACGATATTGAGCTAACGGTTGCAGTCACTGTGTCAATCCACTCTTTCCACGGACCCTCTTTAGGAAGCATAACACCCTTCTCTAGGGATTTGAACCTCCTGAGAACATGTCCAAAACAAGCACGACAAAGTCTAACCATCCTTGCTTCTGAGAAGCAGTCTCTAATCCAAAATATCAATGGCACTGAAATTGAGAAGCGCTGCCCTGGAAGCAGTATTCCTTGAGTAAACACAGAAAATGTGCTTGACTGTTAACCGAGAGGTAGGAGGTTGGAATCCACCCAAAGCCTCGGCATCTATTTCTGAAAGATCAGCCATTCAAAGTCTAGAACGAAGACCTACTCTGCCCCACTGAGGTCACCAAGAGTCAACAGTATATTCAATCAGTAACTAGCTCTGTGACTTACAGCTTCCAAGTTGGTTCACTCCATTCTTTTAAGGGTGGGGATAAAGAATGACCTCAATCTACATACTGCTTGCTGAAAATTTCCTACCTACTACTCCTTCAGGAGCTCCTGACAATTGCCATGACTGGAATAGAAGTAGTCATTTTAGAATGTAGAGTCCTCGGTACTAAGGTAGCATTACCTCCTTCATCATGGACAATACTTTGAGATTGACTCATTGTTACCTTTCAATCAATTCTATTATTATCTTTAAAAGCAAAGTCAGCCATCAAGTCAATTCAGACACATCGCCACCCTTCAGGAGAGAGTACAACGGCTCCCTTGTGTTTCAGAGACTGGAAATCTTTTCCTCTCTCCTGGGAGTGGCTGGTTGGTTCAAAACGGTGAGGGCGGGCGGAGTGAGCAACCCAATGCTTAACTCACTGGTCCACCAGCTACTGATGCATCTAGTATTTCAGCTCCTTTTCGCAACACTTCTTCAGTATTCTTTTTTTAATAAACAATTTTGTTATTGTTAGTTTTCATCTTATGAAAACTCGGCTTCAAAAGAGAATTTCTAGGCCGAAAAAGGACTCTGCTACAGACAGGTCAAAATGCAAATGGTTTAAACACTGCTCATTTCCACCCTCCCCGTATTAGAAGGGACCTTAAAAATCAAGAGTCTAATAACCTTTCTTGACACGTTAAAGGCACTAAACCTCAAGCAAGTTAACTTGTCCCAAGACGCCCGGTATATCCATTAGGAATGATACAGATCACCGATGAAGAGCCAGAGGAGAGATGGGGTTAAAATGCCACTACTGACATTTCCACTAAGCACTAAGGTCCAGGACACCAAGAAGATAGCGGGCGGCATCGCCAGAAGAAAGTGTCCCTCTGGAGACGCGTGCGCAGTAGGGAATCACTGGGGCGCGCCCTCCCCTCCCGCAGGCTGTCCTGTGCTCCCGGGGCGCGGTTACCTCGGTCCCTTCTGGGAGCTTGTAGAGGGGGCGCGCACATCCTAGAGCTGGGAAAATTAAATGCCTAGCATCTCTGTAGCAGCAGTAGAGTTTAGAGTCCATAAACGGAGATGTCATGGGAGGGAAAGGGGCCAGAAAGCCTCAGCTATCAAGTCACTTTCCCGGAACTGAAAGCCCGATAAGGTCCTGATGAGGAAAGAGCATGCGCGGAGCCCACGGCGCAGGCGCATTCGATGTTACGCTTCCGGTGGGCGGGGAAAAGCCGACTGATCCCGCCCCTTTCTCGCGTCACGTGTCGGGAGCGTCCTATGTCACGTGAGCCCCAGGGGGCGGCAGAGCTACGGCAAGAGAGTGAGAGAGTCGGGGAAGCCGGAAGAGGCTTGAGGGAAGCCAAGAGGCGGGTGGAAGACCGCTCCGAAGCGGGCCAGGGGTGCGCGTGCGCCCGCCTCGCCCGCCGCCTCTCTCCCGCGCCCCGCCGCCCTCCCTCGCGGCCGGGTGACAGCTGGGCCCGGTCCGCCCGCCGAGCGCAGCCGAGTTCGCCGCGAGCGGGCTCCCGCCCTCGGAGAGCCGGCCGTCCCTCCCCGTCGTCCTCGCCTTGCCCGTCGGGGGGCGGAGGCGGCCGGGCGCCGGAGCGAGGCGCCAGCTGCGGGGACACAGTGTGACCGCCCGGTCCCTGTCCCGGGTCCGCCGGCTGCCTTTCCCCCTCGGTCGCGGGGCCGGCCGCGATTCCGGCCCCAGGATGCAGAATGTGATTAACACGGTGAAGGGCAAGGCGCTGGAAGTGGCCGAGTACCTGACCCCTGTGCTCAAGGTAAGCGGGCCGGCCGGCCCGGGGCCGTCAGGCACGCGCTTCAGTCGGCCCGGGCCGAGGACTGGGCGCCCGGGGGATGCAAGGACGTCAACTTGTGACTTCTGAAGTCGTTTCAAACTTTCTAAACGAGCATTTGGTTATCTTTTCTTTAAAAATGAAATCAGTTCATCTACAATAATGACATGTCGCCGGCTTGGGTTGTTTTTTTGTTTTTTTTTGCTTTCTAGTTTCATGGGAAGCCTCCATAAGTATCAAATTTCTCGTCCCAACTTGTTTTAAGTTTCAGAGAAACAAAAGTGAAAATTGTAATATTATCTCTCTTACCGCCCTTGCTAAGCAGCAAAACCTCGCCTTTCCCAAGCTTTTAAAACAGTGATAATTAGTTGTTGAACTTAAGTGGCACCAAGGAGTGACTTGACCTTGCTGCTTGTTGTCCATCTTTATTATGTGGACAACACAACAGTAATGCAGTGCTTTAAAAATATGACGTTAGTTACAACAAAGTTGTGCTATTTCAAGAATTAAATTTCTAGAAGTGGATTCATTTCTTTTTATAACAGATGCAAACATTTTTTTGTGTGTTTTATATTGATAGGCTTATTTGCCTTTCTGACAAAGTGAAGGAAATGGATGGCAAAATTTTGCTTTATTTTTTAAGTTTAGTTTTTGGTTAAAACTTCAGAATTGTTTAAAATGTGGAGATCAAATATTGGAAAGTTGGTTTTCTTTATTCAAGAAGCTAGGCCAGTATGCTAACAATAGTAGACAGTTTTTCCTTTCCTGCTGCCCTATTCTTTAGCATACTTGGCATTTCTAAGACTGATTTTCAAATAATCCCCTTACTAGACATGTTTCAAAAAGTATATGATTGAGAATTCCAATTCTTGTATTGTTTATATTTGTTTACTGTGAGACCCATCTTAATTAAGATTATTCAGTAAGCTACTTAAAGTTGAAAATTATTTTGACTTTTGAACAAATGTGTTTGTGTGAAGTGTTTTACCTTTTCAGAATAGTACCTCTACATAAATACACAAAATTTAAATAATATATACGTATTTCATTTCTTAGTTTCCAGAAGAGAGGAACAAGAGAAAACCCCTTACATTAAAAAGGTGAAAGGTTGAACTAATAAGGAAATATTTAGTGTGTTCCTTTTAAAATCAGGAAAGCAGAGCAAATGACCCGTTACTTTTCCCTCCTGTGGAAACAGTTTACAGAAAGAATCCTTTTCTGCTAGAGGTGAGAATGCAAAACAAAATATTCAGGAAAGAAGTAATGGCCGCCTTAAACCCCCAAACCACAGCTACTGTCAACGGAGTCAAAACTCCCCTCCTGCTTTGAGTTTCTGAAGCTGTAAATCTTTATGGGAGCAGAAAGCTTGGTCTTTCTCCTGAGAAACTGCTTGAGTAAGTTTGAACTCCCAACCTTGCTCTTAGCAGCTGACACTCAAACCACTGTACCACCTCACTCTGCTCACTGCCGTCAAGTCAATGCTGACTCATAGCGGCCCCTCAGAGTTGCTGGTAGTTTTGAACTGTCAACCATCAAGCTCACAGCCCAACACTTAAATCTCTACATGCGCAGTGCTCCATCTAGGACTCTCATGACCTCCTAGCAAGTAAAAGGAGCCGTGGGTATAGTGGGCTATGTGTTGGCTGTTAACTGCACACACACCTAGCAGGTAGACGCCATCGCCTCCTTGGCTGTATGACAAAGGAAACAAGTTAAAATGAAGGATTTCTTTTATTTCCTTTTTTTCTGAAGACCATAGTAAGAGCCAAAAGCCCACGTTCTCAAGATGATCATCATAATCCTCACAAACCCCATTCGCATATCTGGTCGTTGTTCACTCTTGTTTAAGCCATGCGGATCCTCTGTGTTACTGTCATACAGATTTTGCCTAGGGGTATTTTCTTTTGCTCTTACTTCAAGTTGTGGGTTCCTTCTTGGGCTACAAGGTCAGCAGCTTGAAACCACCAGGTGGTGCTTGGGAGAAAGGTGAGGTTTTCTACTGTCAAGATTTACAGGCTGGGAAACCCACAGTTGTAGTTCTGCCCTGTTCTGTAGGCTTGCTTTGAGTCGAGATGGACTCAGTGGCAGTGGATATCTTCATCCCTTCTCTCGCTGCTCTCTGCTTTATTTTTCTCGATGGCATTCTGTGTTTAATATATTTTTCCCTCCTCCAGAAGTTAAATTCCCTGTGAGGGAAAGAATGAATTTTATCTGTTTTACTCAATGCTGTATGCCCAGGTCTTAGACTGGCACACTGTGATACTACATTTAAATGGATCATATTCTTAAGATGAATTTTTTTGTTTTTTTTGTAAACTATCACAATTTATATATGACTTAAAATGTAGAAAAATATTAGTAAAATAACATTCTGACATTAGAGGAAAGAATTTACAAAATTTTCACTCTTGTAAAATAAGATCAGAATTACCATAAGGTGTGACATAGTGCAAGTCGGGCTGCCATCCACAAAGTGGCCAGTTCGAAACCACCAGCACTCCTCAGGAGAAAGACAGGGCTTTCTAGTCCCATAAACAGTTACTGCCTTGGAAACCCCCGGGGGTAGTTCTACCTTGACCTGTAGGGTTGCTCTGAGTCAGTATGACTCAGGGACAGTGAGTTTGGTTTGGTCATGTTTGTATAAACCTTTGAATTCTTTCCCAAAACACTGGTTCTGTTACAAAACACAACCAAATCCACTGCCATCAAGTCGACTGCGGCTCACTAGTGAACCTAAAGTGCCTTATAAGACAGCCGAATTGCCCTTGTTTATAAGACTGAATATTTTTGGAAGCAGGAAGCCTCATCTTCCTCCCACAGAAGGGCTTGTGGCTTTATACCTATCACCTTGCTCCACCACACCACCAATGCTCTTTTGTTGTAACACCTTATTATAATTGTTTTCATGTCCGTTTCACCTATTAGATTTGTTTATTCCTTGAGATCAGATTCATTTATTTATTTTTTGTCTGCCTCATATGCCAGGCAAATAGTTGCTCCACAGATGTTTTTTATTTAAATGAATAAAAAGTAGAAATTTATGTGACTCACTTATTCTTTTTTTAATTTTAGGAATCAAAGTTTAAAGAAACAGGAGCTATCAACCCAGAAGAGGTAATTGTTGGATAGATTTTAAGGTTATTAAATTTAGAGAAATAATTATTATATTAAAACCCTGCATTTTCTGCTTTGTAAGAAAAGCTTTTGAATGTCGCAATTTTAAGTAAAACTGGATTCTATTTACCATATTTAGGAACTTTAAACAATGTACTACTTGCTATAAAAGGAAAGGTTACTTCCCTCTTGATTTGCCACTTCTCCCATTGCTCTGTACTTCCTCTGTATTTAGAAATAAGGGTGGTGGAGGCATGGCCAAGATTCCCATGGCCACTTACCCTCCGCTCATCTCTGTCAGATTAGTCTGTGCAGTGGGCACTGTGATGTTCGCAGACTTGACTCTTTGCCCCAAATGGGTTTTCATGGCTTTCTGGTTGTAAACTCCACCCACTGGTGGGACATTCAGTGTTTTCTTAGTATTCAGGTTATATGGTTTTTTGTAACATACTTAACACTGATTCTTTTCTCCCAGTCTAATTTTCTATAAACTAGGTTATTTTGAAACTGCTTAGTGTTGGAAATAACAGCTATGTTATTGGCTAGTTGTATTTTTTTTTTAAACTTCTAACAAGACAAAGAGTTCTCTTTAATTCAGATAATTTCACTTTGTTTTCCATGAAAAAAAATGGAGAAAAAAATTGATTCAGAATCCTGGGCTACAATATCTTTTTAGAATCTGGTATTTATTATAAGTATCTAAGTTTGTATCAGACTTATTTTTGTTCTTAAAAAATGGAACAGAATTTATTTGAGGTTAATTTAAGCTCTCACTGAAAACACCACTCTTTGGTAATAGAGCTTAATTCATTATTTTGAAAGAAAAAATTTACAATACGGCACACAATAGGATCTTACTGCTGCTGTAAATTCCAAGACCGCAAGCCAGTGAATTAACTGGTCTTTCAATTTCCGATTGTGATGAAATAGTGGTTTATGTGTTGAGTCGCAAACCACAAAGTCAGTCGTTCGAAACCACCAGCCAATCTGTGGACGAAAGATACTAGCATGAAGAGTTACACTCAGAAACCTGCAGGGGTCTAGTCTGTCCTATAGGGTAGTGCTATGAGTCAGAATTGACTCAATGGCAGTGAATTTTTTTGGTTTTAGAAATCCAAGTGAATTCTAAGAAAATTTTGCTAAACAAAACCAGTCCAGATGGGTACCAAGCACATATAAAATGATCCTTGATTTTAGTAAAGGCACATAATGGTGTAGAAAGAACCTGGAAGACTTGACTTTAGATCAGCGGTTCTTAAACTGTGGGTCGCAACCCCTTTGGGGGGTCGAACCACCCTTTCACAGAGGTCGCCTGATTCATAACAGTAGCAAAATTACAGTTATGAAGTAGCAATGAAATTAAATTTGTGGTTGGGGGCCCACCACAACATGAGGAACTGTATCAAAGGGTCGCGGCATTAGGAAGGTTGAGACCATTGCTTTAGGTGAACTTCTTTTATTTTTCTTGTTCTCACTTGGGCAATGGTAAGTTGTCCAGGCTTAGGCCAGCTTCCTCATCTAAAATGTGAGATTTGGCCTAAATATTCTACTTATCGTAGTTATCTAGTGCTTCAGTAACACAAATGCCATAAGTTTGTGGATTAAAGGAACAGAAATCTATTTTCTCCTAGTCTTGAGGATTCAAGTCCAGGATCACAATCCTGGTCCCATGGATGCCATACATTCAGTCTTCCCCAGTAAGTGCATGCCTGTCTGTGTGCTGTTTTACTCTGTATAGAAAGAACTAGAGCCACCCTTCATTGGGAGAGCTTCCACAGATGCATGGATTACATTATGGGAGGTCAGGGATAGAGGTTAGGTTTCCAACAGATATTGTGGAGATAGTTTAGGCTTCATGAGTTCAGTGCCTTTAGTGCTCATGAAACTGGCATTGGATCTGAAGGAAATGAAAATTCTTGCCAAACAAAGCTGTAATGGAGACAGGGCTTTTGGAACTGCCGTTGCTAGGTGTCTCGAGTCACTTCTGACGCATGCTACCACGTGCACAACAGTGAAACCCTGCCTGCCTGTACCATCTTCCCCGCTGTGCTTCCACTGCTGCAGCCAGTGTCAGTCCGTTTGGTTAAAGGCCTTCCTCTTTCTCACGGTCATTCTACCAAACATGACGTCTTTCTTCGGGACTGGTCTCTTCTGAGAACATGTCCAAAGTACATCAGACAAAGTTTCTCTATCTTTTCCTCTACTGTGCAGTCTGGCTGTACTTCTTCCAAGATGTTTGGTCTTTAGGCAGTCCATGGAACTTTCAGTATTCTTCACCAGCACCATAATTCAAGTGCATTAATTCTTCTTTAGTCTTCCTTATTCAACAATCAAATTTCACATGCATATGAGGCAATTGAAAGTACTGTGGCTTGGGTCAGGCACACCCTAGTCCTCAAAGTAACATCCTTGCTTTTCAGAACTTTAAAGAGGTCTTGTGCAGCAGATTTACCCAATGCAATATGTCATTTGATCTCTTGACTGCTGTTTCCATGAGCAGTGGATTGACTGTGGATCCAAGCGAGACAAATCCTTGACAACTTCAACCTTTTGTCCATTTCTCATGATGTTACCTATTGGCCTAGTTGTGAAGATTTGGTTTTCTTTACATTGAGTTGTAATTCATACTCAAGGCTTCAATCCCCGATCTTCATCAGCAATTACTTTTAAGTCCTCTGCACATTAAGCAAGATTGTGTCATTTGCATATAGTGGGTAGTTAATAAGCCTTTTTCACTCCTGATGCCACATTCTTATAATCCAGCTTATTTGCTTAGTTTATTTGCTTATTTGCTTAGCTTAGCATACAGATTGAATAAGTATAGTGAGAGGATATAACCCTGAGGAAGCACACCTTTCCTGACTTGAAACCATGTGTAGTATTCCTTTGTCTTATTCAAACAGCTGCTTCGTGGTCCATATACAAGTTCTGTATGAGCATGATGACGTGTTTTGGAGTTCCCGTTCTTCTCAAGGTCATCCATAGTTTAAGATCTACTCGGTCAATTGCCTTTGCATTGTCAATAAAACACAAGTACAGTGAACCCTCGCCACTTCGCGCCTCGACTTCCGCGTCTTCACTCTATCGCGGTTTTTGCGTAATAGCGCATGCTCTGTCATTACTGCCACTGATTGGCTCATACTGTACACGCTTGATGCCATAAATAATATAATAAATAATAAATGATCATTGTAATGTCCAAAATGTTTTACTGTATTTTCCCTTTTTCGTTTAATAAATTGGGTCATACGAGTGTAATGGTGACTAAAGGGTGTTTTTTCATGTCCTCTATGCTCTAACTACGAAAATATTTGATTTACAAATAAGGAATCCTACTTCGTGGAATTTCATTTATCACGGTAGGGTCTAGAACCGATTAACCGCGATAAACGAGGGTTCACTGTAATCGTCTTTCTGGTATTCTCTACGTTCAACCAAGACCCATCTCGCATCAGCTGTGATATCCTTTGTTCCATGTCCTCTTCTCAATCTAACCTGAACCTCTGGAAGCTCCTGCCATGGTACTGCTACAACCATTATTGGATGATCTTAAAATTTACTTGTATGTGCTATTATTGGTATTGTTCTATAATTTGATCATTCTGTTGGGTCACCTTTCTTTGGAATGGGTACAAATATGATCTCTTCCATTCAGTTGGCCAGGTAGCTTTTATCCAGATTTCCTGGCATAGATGAATGAGTGCTTTCGGTGCTTCATCAGCTTGTTGAAACATTTCGATTGTTATTCCATCAATTTCTGGAGCTTTGTTTTTGGCTAATGCATTCAGTGGAGCTTGAACTTCTTCCTTTACTACTGTTGGTTCTTGCGCAGATACTACCTCCTGATATGGTGGGATGTCTATTAGTTTGTTTTGTATAATGACTGTATTCTTTCTATTTTCTTTTGATGCTTAATTTTGACCCTAGAGTCTTTCAGTATTACAACTCAAGGCTTGATTCTTTCATTTTCAAATATGCTGAGTGAGTTCTCTATTGGTTTCCTAACTCTAGGTCTTTACATATGTCATTATAATATAATAATTTATTTTCGAAAGCTGCTCTTTGAAATTTTCTGTTCAACTCTTTGATGTCATCATTTTTTCCACCTGGCTTAGCTACTCTACGATTATAAGCAAATTTCAGAGTCTCTTTTGATAGCTACTTTAATCTTTTCTTTTTCCTTCTCTCTTTAATGACCTTTTGCTTTCATGAATGATGTTCTTGATGTCATTCCACAGCTTATCTTCTGTCATTTGTGGGCAGTGCAGCAAATCTGTTACTGAGGTGTTCTTGATATTTAGGTGGGTTAGGCTCAAGGTTGTGTTTTGGTTCTCATGGATTCGTTTTCATTTTCTTCAGCATCCACCTGGACTTACATAGGAACAATTGATGGTCTGTTCCACAAGTCAGCCCTTTGGCCTGGCTTTAGCTGCTGATGTTGAGCTGCTCTATCATGTCGTCCCACAGATGTAGTCAGTTTGATTTCTGTGTGTTCCATCTGGGGAAGTCCGTGTGTAGAGTCGCCATTTGAGTTGTTGAAAAAGATATTTGCTATAAAAAAAGTTGGTCTTGCAAAATTCTATCTTGCAATTTCCAGTTTCATTTCTACCACCAATACCATATTTTCCAACTACTTTTCCTTCCTCTTTGTTTGAAACTTTTGCATTACCAGTAATTATCAGTACATCTTGATTGCATATTTGATTAATTTAGACTAAAAATGGTGTTAGAATTCTTCAATTTCTTCAGCACTAACTAGTGGTTGATGCATAAATTTGAATAATAGTTGTATTGATTGGATTTCCTTGAAGGTTGATAGGTATAATCCTAGTACAGTCATTTTTTTTCAAGATACATCATGAACATGTCCCTTTTTGACAATGAGTGCAATGCCTTTCCTCTTGATTGTGCCTTTTCCAGCATAGTAAACCGTCTAATGTTCTGGTTCAGATTGGCAACACTAATTTAGCATTAGCTCACTAATGCTTGGGATATTGATTTTTATGTGTTATATTTTTTACTTCCAATTTTCATAGATTCATACTTTGTACATTCCAAGTTCTTATTAGATTTTTGCAGCCATTTCTTCTCGTTTTCAATTTTGCCCCATCAGGAAATGAGGTCAAGAAGACTTTACTCTCACATGGACTTTATTCCATGACTCTACTTTGAAAATGTAGCTCCGCCTCAGTCATATTTGAGCTTTCTGACCCGAGGCACTCATTTATGACATTATCTCGGACAATGTTCTACTTCTGTTTCGTAGACTCTCAGTATGTGACAATGTTTTGATTAGCCATAATATTTTCAGCAGCTATCCTATAAAGTGGACAGCTGATTCCTTCTTTGTAGTCTGTTCTTAGTCTGGAAACTGCTGTTCACTTTGGGTGACCCTGCTGGCATTTGCAATATCAGTGACATAGCTTCCAGCATCACAGCAATACACAAGCCACCACAGTACAACAAACGGACAGACAAGTAGTGGACTCTTAAAACTAAGCATCTGAAATCAAGAGCAGAGATGACAGTGTTCTGTTCTTATATCCTTAGATCGTAGATTCCCAAACTTATTTGGCCTACTTTCCCCTTTTCAGGGAAAAACAACAAAACTCATCCCTTCAGTAATGAAAACTTTTGTACTATAGCTCATAATCCAGGATAAAGTATTAGGTATCTTCCATCAACCTGATACCTGGATCATTCCAGTGTCCCCCATGGTACGGTATCCCCCACTTTTGGAAACACTGGCTTGGACTTTATGCCCTCTGTGGAGATGTCTAATTGATAAATAGTTGAAGTTAAATATGAAGCTGTGTATGGTCATTGGATAAAAAGTTAACTTTTAAAACCGGCATTAATCTAATAGTGTTTTAACTAGCTAGAAATAAAGGAAAGCTGGTGGAATCGTGGGCTAAGCTTTGGGCTGTTAACGTATAGGTCAGGGGCTGCTTTGTGGGAGAAAAATGAGTCAGTCAACTTGATGGCAGTGGGTATTAGCTAAAACTGCGTTCATGTGGGATGTGTGTATGGCTTGATTAAGGAGAGTACTATTCATAGAAGGCAGCTTGAGAAATAGTTGCTCACCAAATTTTTAATATCACTTATCTTGATGGAGGTACTCATTTTATATATGAAGGGGGGATAAAAATTAGTGGGGAAATGGAATTAAAAGGAAATTTTCTACGAGGTTTTTGAAGCCCCTTCTGTTTGATGATAAATCTCACAAGAGAATATTTAATTACTGAGTAAAAGCTGTTGTAAGCAATATTGATAATGTAGAAATTTGAGTCCATTTCTATCTTACATTTAGCTTATTTGAACATAAACAAGTAGTAGTCGTTGTAAATTGTTAATGAGGATAGATGGGCGCTTGTGCAATTCCTTTCTCTTAGGGTTTTTTTATTATCTTTTGGTAGTTTTAATTTTTTTTAATGCCATCAGGCATGAGGAGGGGGAAGTATTGGGATCTTAGGACTTTGAGGAAGTATCTTTAACTTTGAGGAATTTTTACTTTTTTGCTATGCTTTTACTGTTGGTGGTGGTAAATTAGTTTATTGTAACAGCAGTGGTAATTGTAGCAGCTGGTTGCAGTAAATCTAAAATGCTTCAAACTTGGGAAAGAGCATTTTTGCTTTTTGTTTTACCTCACCAGTTTAAATAATAAAGCTTATTAAAAGAACAAACACAAAGTTGCTGTTGGAAATACTACTATCGGTCTTACAATATTGCTAAATCTTAACCCTGTTGATGTATTATTCTAAAAGAGGTTATTCTCAGAGTTTGTATTTGATAGACTTACTTTCTGAAATTGCTAATGTGTAAAGACATGCTTTTTCCTGAGAGGCATTAGAAGATTAAAGATACTACAACACTTTTGCTGTGGAATAAACTCATGAACAAAATAAAGCAAGGGAAGTGAGAGTTGTTATGAAATACAAATAATTGGGAAAGTATGTGTGCACTTTACTTGAATTGGGACATTGAAAATTATGTTTAACAGGCTTTTACTTTCTGCTCTCAAGAATAAACTGAGTTGCTGTCCGCAGATAAAGCTAGCTCTTGCCTAATTCTCAAAACGGGACACTATTCCTACCTCAATCTGTTGATGTTGGTTTTTTTGCTGTTGTTGGAGCAAAACAAAAAAAGGCTTGTTTGCTTAGTCAATTTCTTAATTAGCCAGATATTTTAAAAATCATCCCCGAAGTTTTTTTCTGCCTTCTTTGGCACTACATTTCTCTGTTTTGAATGGTTCCTTTAAGACTGAAAGAAGCTTTAAAATTGGCCATTATCTAAATTAAGGGGAAACGAGGAGAAAAAGTATCATGCATTGTGATCTAATCAGGTAACCTTACATTAGAGGCTTGTTTAAGTTTGACAACTTAAACTTTTTTTCAGAAGTTTTCACCCAGTAGCAAGAGTCTCTCTACATTTTATTTGTAGAGTCCTGTAGCCTTGTCTTCATTGATTGTATGATACTCTATGCTATTAGCATTATTTATCTACCGATAAAAATAACATATTTAAAATATAACAGTAAGACTTGTTTTCTTTCAAGAGTTACTTGAATTTGTATGAATATTAAGAATGTAGCTCTCACAATAATCAAAAATAACTTTTCAGACAAATAAATTAGGTTTAACGCTGTTTAAAATCTAGTTTAAGATCTGACCAAAGTTTTGTAGAGTGATTGGTTTGGTATCTTACCATGCTACATGTAGTGATGCGTAACTTTTCTTTTCAAACCCTGACTAGTTTGTGGCCGCTGGAGATCATTTAGTCCACCACTGTCCAACATGGCAATGGTAAGTACACTTGAGTAGACACAAAAGAAACAAGTATGGCTGCAGCCCCTCCTGGGTGCCTTCCTGCTGAGGCTTATGTGGGGAGTGACATGTCCCAAAAGAGCTTTGTTAACATTACAAGAGGCCAAAGACCAGAGAGAGGCCTGGGTGTCCTGTGCAAATAATTGCATCCTTGAGATTTTGTAACCTGTTAACTTCCTTATTAAAGCCCACAATGGTGAGTTTTGTCTGAATAATTATCCAACCCAGCTAGAGTACAGTGTGCTGTGGGAGGGACCAAACCAGAACAAACTCCTGCCATAAGTAAGTCCATGTTAAGTCTTAATGCAAAGCAAACCCTAAACAGGGTAGAGCTGTGGGTTTCCGAGACTGTAACTCTTTACCAGAGTTGAAAGCCTGGTCTTCTGCCTAAGGAGTGGCTGGGTGGTTTCGAACTGCTGACCTTGTATTTAGAAAAGCCCAATGCATAACAACTCAGCCACCTGGTGCCAATTGGAAAGAAGGTTGGAAGATGGGGCATGTCTTACCTCCACCTCATAGAAATCAGCCCATGGCAGCTGAGGCTGATAACGGTGATTTCTCCTCTCCATTGCTTAGTTAAAGGCAGTCAGACCCCACTGACCCCCATCCTAAGTAATTCTGTTAAATTCCTCCGGTGGAAAATGCCCCAATTCTTGGCTTCGCACGAGAAAGAAACTCACTGCAAAACTGGTTTGTGATCTTAGTGAGCTTTATAAAGGATAGCAGACGTTTCAGGTTTCACACAGGCCTGCGGCCAGAGAGACCGCAGCACGAGGGACAGCCGGAAAAGGAGGAGGGAGGTCTCTCGGTTCAGGCTCTTTTAGGGCCTTCCCTTGGGAGGCGTGGTGAAGGTGCTGGTTGACCCCCTTGGCTTAGTTCAGCCCACCTGGCCTAGATTAGGACCCACCCAAGTATACTGGCTTCTTACATCTTCCTCTAGGGGGCCCCTAGGCATGGAGAGGAACAACCCCCCCCTATCCAGCTACCGAACAATTTCTTTATGAGTACAAATGAATGTTATAAAATTGGGGGCAAGGGATTCTAGAACTAATAAGGTTCTAATTGATGTTTTTAAATATTTAAAAATCTTAAATAATTAAATCATTTTAAACCAGAATTAGCACTCTTTTCTGTCTGTGGTCTTTTATTTCCCTTAGTTTTTATATTTAACTTATACCCAAGACAGTTGTTCCTGCTTTTAATCATTTTTAATTTTCTAGGGTGTGGTAGGCCAGGTTAACTAAAGAATCAAATCCTGAGCCACTCAAATGTGTAAGAAAGAGCTTTATTTCAAGAAGTAATTGTGTATCAAGCAAACATCCTAGCCCAGTCCAGATCAATCCATAAGTCCAATATTAGTCCATAAATCCCTCTTCTGACTTACGCAGCCACATGGAATGATGCAGAATTCAGGAAGATCACAGGTCAGGCAGGTGGATGCAAAGTCCTGTGAATCCAATGGCAGTGACTGTATCTCCAGGGCTCTGGCAGCAATCTAGGTCAGCCAGCAGGAAAGGTGAATGCAGGGAGAGGGGAAGGTTCCCAGCACCCTCTTTATGAGAAGGCCACGCCCACAAGGAGTCACCATCAGGTTGTGACCTGATTGACAGGCTGGACTCCACTACACTCTTCTATATCTTCAAGTTGACATGAAATTATGTAACTACCACATAGGGCATTGATATTTATGTATCATTAAAAGCTAAAATGGCAGGTGTATTATTACATCCTTTTCCCCCTTCTGTGTTTCTCAGTACCATATTTAAAACAGATTGTATTGTATACGCTCCCTGATTTTAGTAAGGGTTGTTGCTTTACCCACCACCCACCCCACCCTATCTAAATTGTTTGTTAAAAATGTATATACTGAATTTTGATCTTAATTTAGATATATGCGAAGTCAAAATGTATATACTGAATTCTGATCTTAATTTAGATATATATGAAGTGAAATAGATATGGAAAACAGATTAATTTTGTAAAAACTGAACTAATTTAAGATTTTCTTGATAACTATTATTTCTATGATACAATGTCATATGTATTGATAAGTATACACTTATGATATACATTTTGCATATTCTGATTCCTTTGTTAAATCCCATAATTATTTGGTTAGCTTAGACATGATTTATGGCATTGTGTACACATGTGGTCAGGATCTTTTAAAGTAGACATTCAGAGTTTATGAATTGTGCAGCTTGAAATCATTTTACTATAATTTAGAACTCATTTAAATCTTACTCCAGTGCCTGTTCTTTTGGCTGCCTTATGGATCCAAAGGAATAATCCATTTCAAGTCCGCGGTAGAAACAAGTTCTTGCCATGCCATGCTTTCCTGTGTACAAGGCCCAGAACCCTAAAGAACATCCTCTCAGTGCCTATAGCATTTGCTTGACCGTGAGGAATGACTTGGGAATGGCCTAAAGCAACCCACAGGGCTGCCAAATCATAATGGAGAATTTCGTGGTTTATCTTGTGCTTAAAACCTGTCTGTGGACTGAAGTTTAAGAAGGTAACAGCACTAAATTTATGCTTTTATATTTGTGTGACAGGCACCAGATGCCACCCTAGATCTGGCTAGTTCTAATAGAGTTAACAGAAAAATCTTTGAACAAATGCTTCCTGAGGGATTCCAGGGTATCCTAGAAGAGTGGGAAGCATTGTTACTGGCTTTGGCCCACAGAGGGAGTAGTGGTCAAGGGCAGTACCCTGGGGTCTCTGGCTTCCTCCTGGTGGTTCCACCGTTTGGTTTTGTGACCCTGGGCAATTTGACTTTATTAAGCTTTTGTTTACTTAACTGTAAAGTGGGGATATTAATATTAGCTAGTTTTTATTAGGATTAAAATTTTAAAATACAGATTAAAATTTTAATTTGTGACACTTAAGTATTCAGTAAAAGTTTGTTTTTAGTCATCATTCTCAACATTATCATTTTGTGATTCAAAGGATCTCGTATCCCTGAGTTCTGATTTTCATACAGTTATAGGAATGGGATCTTGCCAACAACCTACTTTGTTATGTAATGTAATGCAGCATTTTTTCCTGCCTCTTGGCTTGAAGATGAGCATTGCTTTAGGACTGAAAATATGAATGAGCATATACACACTAGGGAATGGAATTTTTTTATTTGCAGACAAATATAATACTTGTTCAATCTATATTATTCTAACCCCTTTGTCTAATATCAAATTATCTTAGAGCTACATATTTTAGTGCATTTAGCTTTTAAAGGTGAATTATGCTTTTCAGTGCTCTGAGCCAAAATATGCCGAGTCAATCATTAAATGACATTCTATCCAAAATAGTAGTAAAATAGTTTTCTTGGAAGTATGATGTAGATTTTGTTTTCTTTTTAACATTTTACTGTAGTTTGCATAAAATTTAACAGAGCAAATCATCAGTGTTCCATTCAGCAATTTATACACATTTTGTTTCATGACATTTTCAAATCCTCAGTGTAACAGTGCTCTGTCCACTTCTTCCCTGGGCCTTTGTCCATGACCCTCCTTTCCTGCCCCTTCCAGTGTCTGAACATTCTTTTTGGCAAATGCTAAGCCAAGTTGGGTAGTTTTGAGACTTAGATGTGATGATATCTTCATTCCGTATTACCTTCTAAAAGTTTGTGTCTCTGTGTACCTTTTATTGTTTCCAAAGGGCTACAGGGGAAGAATCCAAAGTGAAGGCCTACTTACCAAAAGGCAAACAATTTTTGGTAACCAAAAATGGTAAGAATTCTGTTGTACACATTAGAGAATGGTTAACAGTTTTGTTTAAAACAAAAACACAACATTTTAACATTTAATGGTCTTAATCTGTACTTAAAACTGTGTTTACAGATTGTGGTTCTCAGATAACAATTTAGAAATTTAATGAAACCCTGTATTTTCTGTTGCTGGGGTTTTTGTTTTGTTTTTTTCCCATTTAACTTTTATCTCCCTCAGCTCCTCTTCCACCAACCCACCCCCCCAAAAAAACCCAAGCATCTAATATAATTGGAAGAAGAGAGCTCAAAGCACAAAGTTGACCTTTGTCTAATTGGATTTTTTTTTTAGTTGATGTCATAATCTGTTTAGATACTTGATGTTAATTTTTCATAGGTATACATTCTTCATGAAAAGATGAAATTGATGGGCCTCTCATAGTGTCCCGTGCCAGAGTGAACTGTAACCCCGAACCATTCCCTGGCTCTATCCCATGGGCGTTGGGCACTAAAGTGGGTTGCACAGTGGAAAAAAGAAAAGAAAAGATGAACTTGATAACTACGTTATACATGTAAAATCTCCAAAATAAAGATTATATTTTTCATTTTGTCATTGAAAATGAAATTTCGCTCTCTCTGCCATTGAGTCATACTAACGTGTAGCGATCCTATAGGACCAGGTAGAACTGTTCTGGGAATTTCTGAGACTGTAACTCTTTACAGGAATAGAAAGTCCCATCATTCTCCCTTGGAGCAACTGGTGGTTTGGAACTACTAACCTTTTGGATTGCAACCCAACTCATAACCTTTAAGCCACCTGGGCTGCTCTGAAGGATTTCTTATAGTCACACAAATATTTTTGAAACAGGCACTGTTTTTATAAACTTGATTTGAAAGCACCAAATGTTATCATAATCCCCATTTAATAGCAAAGCAGTACATTGATTTCTCTTCAAATATAACCGGTATAGAAAGGGAAAGCAATTATGTATGAGACACAAATTTTTTCTTACCTTTTGCATATTTTTTTCTTATTGCAGTTGATAATTATTATACCCTCCAATGTTAAAAAAGAAAAAAATCAGATTTGTTAATCCTTTGTTAGGTGCTTTTACTTTGCAGTTTCTCAGTGTTAGGATTATAAAAACTGACACCTGTTCATTGCCTTGGCAGCAGTATTGTCTGAAAGAATAAAACTCAGCTGTTAGGGGACTTTAAGGCACTCTTTTATGAAAACTGGAACTTAAATGATGAATTTTACATTGAACGTTCCTTCAGCTTTGCAAACAGGAGGTCACTTGTTCCCTCCCTCCTTGGGCATGACAGGTGGTGCCTCCCTGTTGTGAGTGTAAGACCATTGAAAGAAGGTATGATTCCTAAGCCAGGGGTTGGATAACACCACCTCTGACCTCAGCCTGGGTTCTCACAGACTGTCAGGTAAGGAAGGTATTGAACACTCGGAGCAGACCATTTTCTCCTGTCTTCTGACACGGATACTTTGGGGAACATTAATGTAACTGAATAATTAAGTGTCTGCACTGAATACTACTATAAATCACTTTCATTAGAAATGAAATGTATTGATGCAGTTATAGCTTTGTAGGATGAAACTATGAAAAACTAATGGACTTATGATTAGCATGGCTTATGCTGTAACTATATTTGCCATTTTTTAATAGTGCCATGTTATAAGCGGTGCAAACAGATGGAGTATTCAGATGAATTGGAAGCTATCATTGAAGAAGATGATGGTGATGGGGGATGGGTAGATACATATCACAACGCAGGTAAGAGGAGACCAGGATGCTATATATTCATTTTTAATTGTCTTAAAGTCTTTAGTAAAAAGCGTTGCTCAAACAGAGGGGGCATGGCCTGTGCAGTTTTGTCCCCTGTAACTTTCATCTGAGGGAAGTAGGGGGACATATTGGCAAAATAAAATATGCAAGATTTCTGTAATTCTTCAATTGTAGTTTGAAAATATCCATATTTTTGTATTTCTAAATAAAGAAGAAATAAAGCGAATCAGAAATACTGAGTGTGCGTTCTGTATAACTGTAGAGTCCCTTGGTTATATGTCATTCTTCTACTGGAACATGAGCTCCTTGAGGCTAAGAAATGTATCCTATTAACATTTACTTTATCCAGATAACACAATTAAAATACCCGGCATTGAACAGTACTTAATACTTATTGAGTGCTTATTAAAAGATATTAAATACTGTAAGCTCCATGAAGGCAGAGATTGTTGAATTCTCAATATATCATAGTTCCTGTTATAGAATTTGTTAAGTAAGTGTTAGAGCATATTGACTGAATGTAAAGCCTTTCGTAAGCATTTGTTTACAAATGTAACTGTAAGTGCTTAATGTTGCATGAAGAAAGTATGTTCAGCGTTTATATCTTGGCTATTGGAAGCAAGTTTTCCTCTTAAGTTATCTAGACTAGGTGATACAAGTATTTAAAGCAGTTGTAAGGAAGGGCTTCTCACTTTGGTCCAGTTGTCACTTTGGACCAGATAATGCTATGTGGTGGGAGGCTTTCTCAGGCATTGTAGAATGCCGATCTTTCTCTGACCTCTGCACACTGGATGCCAGTAGCAGCATCCCAGTAAAACAGGGCTAAGTGATATATATAGTACAAAGTACCTCTTTAGGTCTGTTTCTCTTCTATTTGGACAAGGACGCTGCCAGGTATTTTCATATGGACAGAAGGCCCAGATTCAGAACTTTTATCTAGTTGTTTTAACATAGCTTGGGCCTCTGGCTCTGGATCTGAAATATGTGGTTTTAATGAGTGTGACTGTTGCTGTGTCAAGAACTACAGGAGATAACAAATTCAACAAATTATCAAAATAATTCCTATCTTCCTTCCTTCCACTGAGTAGTGTGCTCTTAGACCGTGACTTCTATCCTCCTCCAAAATCGTTCAGCTGCTTGCTGTAATTTTCCCATGAAATTTTCTGGAAGGTGTAAGCAGTACATTTTTAGTAAAATTGTCTGCTGACTGGCTACGAGCCATTGGTTACAGTACTATGTTTCTAATGTTAAGTTAATGAGTTACTACTTCATCTACTTGTAACTCATTCCATAAAAAATCTCCCAAATCCAGGAACATATTTAAAATGTCTTTATAGAAATCTATGAGAAATTGAATGAACAACACAGGTTTTCCTTATTGACACGAGAAAAATAGTACTTTCATATATGGAAAACCACATAGCATTATACTGCAGCTTACATGATATATGGACCCCTGGTGGCATCATAGTTGTAGGTTGGGCTGTGATCTGCAAGGTGAGCAGTTCTAAACCAGCAGGAGCTCTGAGAAAGACTGGGCTTTACTAATGTAAACAGTTATAGCTTTGGAGACTCAAGGGGCAGTTGTTTTACCCTGTCCTGTGGGGTGGCTATGAGTCGGCATTGACTCTGGGAGTAAGTAAAAAAAAAACCTGATTTATATAGTAAATTATAACTAATATTTATGAGAGATCTATAAAATCTTAGGTTTAAGCTAGTGGTTCTCATCCTGTGGGTCATGCATGACCCCTTTGGGGGTAGAGTGACCCTTTCACAGGGGTCACCCAATTCATAACAGTAGCAAAATGACAGTTATGAAGTAGCAATGAAAATAATTTTATGGTTGGGGGGGTCACCACAACATGAACTGTATTAAAGGGTCACAGCATTAGGAGGGTTGAGAACCACTGGTTTAAGCTATATTCCAATGTAATTGTAGCAGTTCCTCCAATTGAATCAAAAGACTCTTAGATGCCTTGCTTTATCCCTGCTTCTCTCCTTAGCTGCTTTTTCCTTTAGTCCCTCAGTGGTGTTCCTTTCATTAGATAAGGGGAGCTTTTCTTTGCCACTTGTGTCCTACTTTTAGAGCAGTCTGATTTAATGGGACATTAGTATATTTTAACAGATGAGAGAGGTCCATATTCTTTGTTTCTTTGTGTAGGATTTCAGTGAATCATTTTGTGATATCAATTGGCTATGTTAAATAATTAGGTTTAACAATTATACTGTTATCCATACTTACACAATAATTTCTAGCAAAACTTAAGAGCTAACTGCTTTGAACAAGAACCATTGGATTGACATCTTCCAGTTGTAAAACTGAGCTAATCATTCCTTAGTTTGGGCATGTTGGATGTATAATTTCAAGGTTTTAGAAAGATTAACAAAGGACTTAAGCATACTTTATTTTTTAAGTTAGTTACTCTGTTTCCCCATCCTTGTTCATCTAAGAACAAAGAAATATTTTAAATTGGAAATATTAACTAGTGCTGCTGCACTTGCGTAACAGCTTGGTTCTGATGTATTTACTCAATGAGATTGTATTGAGCTTAATGTCAGTAGGTATGGGTTTGAATCCCAGTTTCTTCACTTAACGGATTCAAACAAATCATTGCACAAACCCTCTGGAGAAGTCAGTTCTTAATGAGAAATCATTGACTTAACTACCACTTTAGTAATTAGTGGTTATCTCAATTAAATGAGTTGTGGATATTCAAAGACAACATCAACGAAAAATTGTTATGCTCCAGGGGGCTGATTGAAAACAGATCCAGGAATGGGTTTGGACTCACACTAAATCCTAACTCTAACTTAGAACAATTAGTTTTTACATCATGGCCCCGCTCGATATTTTCCTTTAGGAAGGGAACATAAAAGATGTGAGCGCTATAGCAAAATGTGAAGAAATTAGATGGTGCCCAGCTATCAGGTAAAATAGCATCTGAGGTCTTAAGGCTTATTTCCAAACAAGCAGCCATCAAAGTGAGATGTCAACTAAGTCTACATGGAAGAAGCACACCAACATCAGCCACCGAAGGATTGTAAATCATATAATCTGCAGTTGAAGATGGGGATAATATCGGAGTCTAAATGGTGAGAACCAGTTTGCAGATGGCTATGGATGACAATGGCAGCCCAAGTGGTGGGATCTACATAGGAAATAAGTCTCCAGTGATTTCCCACAATAAAGGGGTGGGAGACAAGTGCTTACTAAACAGAGGGCGTTGGAGAAATGAGTATAGATCAGAAGGATAAACTTGACCTAAATAATTCAAACCTTGTCAGTTTAGGCCTGATCTGGTTTTCAGCATTTTCTGTATTTTTTTGTTTTTTGTTTGTTCATATTGGGGTTTATCTTAGATGTGTTATGTCATTGGGGGTGACCCTTTTGAATTTGTGTTAAATGTTTTTCTGTTTTTCGGTATATGAAATCCAGGATTGATGAACCTATAGGGACAACAAGTAGAATAAGGGTTTTCGGTGAGGTGGGTGTAAGTAAGGTGACCAGATGTTAACATTGGTAAAGCGGGACACCACTGATAAAACTCATATCCTGGCGAAATAGCCACATGGCAGCCGAAGACCATATACCCTAGCTTGTCATTCATTCTTTCCAAAAATTGGGACTTTTTTAAAACGCCGCGGGACTCAGGAAAAATTGTTAAAAATCGGGACTGTCCCGCCAAAAGCGGGATGTCTGGTCACCTTAGTGTACAGTAAAGAGAGCGATAGTAAAAGGGAGGCGATGAATACTTGGAAATTGATTGTGGTAACAATTGTACATTACTGCTTGATGTGATTGAACTATAGAGTGATATATGTATTAACTCCCATAAATAAATAAATAAGTTGTGGAAACACATTGTAAAGTAGAGCGAATTATATAAATGTGAGGTGGTATTACTATCCCCTGGATTAGCCTAGATTTCTGAAGCAAAAAGCAATGTTAGCATAACCAGTCCCGTGTTGGGAACATTTTGATACAGGCTTAACTAAGTAATTTCTCAGATTGTGTAGCTTTCTGGGAGTGGATGTGTACCCTGATAGAGATTCAAGCAAGGGAAATAAAGGAGGAATGCTAAAGTAAGGTCATTAGTGGGAAATATTAAAGTAGTAGGTTTCTGATTAATTTGAGAGATGACTAAGATTGTTCCTTGTAAAATTAATTTGCAAAGAGCCTGCTAATAGTTTCTGACTCATTTGAGAGAAGCTGTGTGAATGTAGATATATTTAAGTCTCTATAGGATTACTATGAGTCAGAATCCACTCAACAGCAATGAGTGAGTTCATGGTGTTCTAATTAGGTAAACGGGTTAGTTTGACAGCTTAATTTTAGCTATTCTTTTCTGTTGATTTTTACACAGGTGTTGCAGGACTAACAGAAGCAGTAAAAGAGATTTCACTGGAAAGCAAGGTACTGGTTAATTATATTTTTAACTTCGATTACCTCATATTTTACTTCATGAGAGTCCTTTCTAAATTCCAGTTATTCTATCTGCACTCCCTTTCTACTGAACATACCAAAACTTCAGTTTCCCATTACTTCCCTTATTTTTCTTAATCTGTCAAAAGGTAAAGAAAGACATTTTTTATAGATACGAATACAAAGTACTCTTTTCCATTAAGAAGTCTTAAAATTTGAATTTTTGGCTAGTTAAGAAGAAATTTTCTTGATTATCTAGTGATGCTGTGAGCTGGCTTTAAGAAACACACTTAATGTTTCTGTTTAGGAAGATAGAAGTCCAAATTCAGGGCACCAGGTCTACCAAAGGCTTGCTTTCTGTCAGCTTCGAGAGAAGGCCCTTGTTGATATATGGCTTGTCTCTTGAGACCCCTCCACTTGTGCTTCTTAACTTATGTCAGAAGAGATTGACTCAAGAAATGTCCTGCACTGATGTAGCCTCATTAGCATAACAAAGCCCATCCCAAGTGGGATTGTGTCCATAAGATTTACAGCATATATTTTTGGAGGTTATAATTTAATCCATAGCAAAATTATTTTTACTTAAAATATATTTAAATCAGGTTCATTACCATCAAGTAAATTGATGCCTTATCTCTCATCTCAAAACTCATGCAATCGAGTCGTTAACATCTCTTAGTGACCCTAGAAGTATTCGAGAGTATAATGTTTTATAGAGGCAGACAGCCTCATCTTTCTGCGTGGAACAGCTGATGGGTTTGAACCTTCAACTTTGCAGTTAGCAGCCTCACCCACAGCTCCATTGAGGTTCCTTACAAGCATCTTTAGTAGGTGATAATGCATAAGTGGATGCTTTGGAGGGTTTTTCTTGTTATTAGTGGACACTAATAAAAGAAAATGTTGACATTTAGAATTTGTAGTTTAAATATTCTGCTAAACAGTTTAATCATTCTATATTTTCTTAATTTGTTTTTCATTTTAAATGTAAGCTTTAGCTTAATTTTGTCATGACATTCTGAATTAATGTAAACGAAATTAGTTAACTTTTGTTATGTGGTTTATTTGGGGGGAATGTAGTATTATATAATTGGGTAACATTTTTTCTGCTTGGAGGATTTGGTTCATTCAGGCTGAGTATTATATAAACTATTCCATCCTAACGAGAAAACAATTTGATGTTTTCAGTTTGAAATCATTTGGAAAAGTAATACAAAATACCTTCACTCTTTTAAGATTATTTTAGTAACCAAATCTCATAAATGATAAATTACTTAAAAGGATAAGTGTTCCTATTGTCCTTATGAAACAATGCCTGCAACTGTGACTAGGTTTAAGATATTCTTTATATATTTTTGTCATTTGAATCTTGGGATTGTTAACTGAAGCTTAGTAGAGAGTATTAGAAACTAAAATAAGGGTTTTGTTTTTGTTTTTTTCTCTTCACAGTAGAATTTTATTTGCTAGGGATTAAGATTCTGTTCATCTTTTTGATATTCTACTTTGGGGAGTATCTGAGAGACTACAGAGAAATCACATGTGACTATGTTGCTTCCATAGCACTTGTTTGCCTATTTCTTGTCAGGGCTGATTTCTTTGAGCCTCCTCATTTAATGTGCCTTTAAGATAGGCTTCAAAAATGTGTATAAAAAATGCAATGAAAAGATAATGGAATTTACCATGACCTTTCTGAAGCTCCCTTGTATTTATTTAGGTCCTAATAGTGAGAGCTTTAGGCTAGGGGAAGTGTGTGTGTGTGTCTGTCTGTCTGTCTCTCTCAGATGTATGGTAATACTCCTAAGTAAGTGTAGTAATGGTTAAGATAGTACTCTGTGTTCCATTGACAGTTTCATGCCCTGCTGCAAGATGATCAACTTAATCAGATTAATTTACAACTAGACTGCATCGTTACATTCTAGTTAATACACAGTATCCATTCATTATTTGTTGTAAGTCAGTGCTTAGAATACTTAGCATCTAGATCCAGCATCCAAGAGTTAATCTTTGTTGTCGATACCTGCTGGGGTTTACTGTATCAAGGCTGAGCGTCACCACCATGATTCAAACTTCTCAGTGTCCTCTCTGTCAGGCATTGGCTGATTCCCACTCATGGGGATGTGGCTGACAGAGTGGAACTGCCCCACATTGTCTCCTAGGCTGTAATCCTTAACAGCAGCAGATCGCTGGGTCTTTCCTTCTGTACAGCAGCAGGTGAATTTGAACCTCTGACCTTTCTGTTAGCATCTGAGTGCAAGTTCTTAAGTTTGTGCCACCACAGCGCCTTGTAATGCCTGACAACTTTTGCTTAATTCAGGTAGAATATTGCTGAGAAATTAGATCAGTGAATTTGATTTATAATTTATGATTTGCAAATATAACTTTTCCATCCTTTATAAGTAGGAAAGCATACATAACTTTGAACTGAACTTCTAAAGTTAATGAATTGATTAATAAAAATAATTGTTTTTCTTATTGGAAATTGTTCACTATTTTAAAATCATTAGCTTAGATGACTTAGTCCTCCTGTTCCTTTTATGGTTTTCAGTCACAGCACTTAGCATATTGCTCTAAATCACAGGCTACCAAATTTAGTTGGCATACTCCACCATTTTGCCACCCTCTTTGCACCCCTCCACGCCCCCCACCCCCAGCATTAGAAACTTTATACTGTAGCCCATCATCCAGGGTAAAGTGTAAGTATCTGCTTTTGCAGTCCCCCTGTTCCACTGCTTCCCCTATTCCCAGGGGGCAGTATCACCCACTTTGGGAAACTTGTAAATGATCGATTTATGAGCTTGTCATCCATTGTTAGAGTATTATGTTTCTTGAAGGTAAGAACTATTTTATTCTTAGGTTCACAGTGGTTACCCTGCTAGTACATGGTGGTGGGGTGTGGGTGTGTGTCTCAGTATTTGAGTTAATGAACATATTCCAATGACATTTAAATTAATTTCAAAGGACAGTATGAAACACCAAGATTGCCCAGCGTTATGTGAGGAAGAAGAAGAGGAGGAAGGGGAAGCTGCAGATATGGAAGGTATTAATCTTCTAGGTTTTCTTTGACAGTATTTCTGTTTGATGAGAATGAGCTCTGAATTCTAACCTTTAGCAGTGTAGAGGACTTTGTTCAGATTCAATCAGTGTGGAAGTTACCTTGGTTTTGGACTCTCCTGTTTTACTTGGAGCATAGTCTTGACAACATGAATCCTATTAGGAAAAATGTTGGTCATAAATCTCTAATGCTGGATAAAGCTGCAAGATAGAGACTATTAAGCCACCTTTTAAACTAATTATTTCAGAGCATAACAAGTAGTTTTCTTCCTCTTTGATATCACTTTTCTAGTAAAACACTAAGAAAGTAATTCTGCGCGGGAGTCTTTTCAAACGATGTAGAATCCCTTCTTGCCCTGAAAGGCTGAAATGCCAACCTAAGGACTACCAGTGGAGAATCACTGCATTAGTGCGCCACTGCTACAGAAGATTGAGATCCACTACTCTTAAGAGCAGAGTCATACAGGTCTATAAACATATGACTATTAATACCTTTTTATTAATAAGGTACACTTTAATACATGCAAAACTTCAGATATTTAAAAAGAGGTGAAGGTATCTGCTCTGACTCACACCACTCTACTTTTTCATTTCGGTTCTATAATTTCTTGCAGTGGCCAAACTCACAGAGACGCTTCACAGAAGAGACTTGTTGTGGAAGCTAACAAGTTAAAATGCTCAGGTGGAAATGCTTAGGATGCAGGTTGTGTTAGGGTACTTTAGAGAAACAATCCACAGAAACTCATGTATAAGAGAGTTTTATAGAAAGGTTAAGTGCACATCAAGAAAACATCCCAACCCAGTCTGCCCAAACCCACAAGTCCAACATTAAGGAGAGCTGGGATTGCTGACTCATGAAATTGGAGCTATGAGCCTTTTGGTTGAGGTTTAATTAGAGTAGGGTGCTTCTGGGAACTTAACCCATATGTCCAACACCAATCCACAAAGTCCTCCATCTCACAAAACAGATGCAATGTTGCCGACTGCAGAAGGAAAGACGAGTCAGTGAATGTGTAAACATCTCGGTGCTGGAAGGGGTCTTCACACAGCTGCTCCAGCTTCATGAGTTAGCAATCCCAGCTCTCCGAACTAGTGCTGCCTGTGAGCACTTGACTTCACAAGCCAGCATCCTGCCCGAAAGCACTCAGCCTCACTTGCCCTGTGCGTCAGGGAGCCCACCACTTTGTCTTTTGCTTCTGCCACTGCCTCTCTGCCCCCCCGCTGTGTCACAGCTAGCTTCTGCATCAAGGAGGCTCCATGTCCCGAGATGCATTGCTGACTAGCTAACAGTGAGCTCCCCACTTTCTGCTTTTTAGGGGGCTCATTTTATACTCAGCCGTTGGCAATCACAGTGACGCTGTTTAACAAGTGCGCACAGCTGAAGACTATCAGTGTGTTCTCCTGCCTTCTCTTACCAGACCATCAGGAAAAGGTCTTGTGGTGCGATTACAAAGACTGACTCGATGTCTCCTGGATGTTGCCCACTTATCAAAAAATGAACTCATCATCTTCTTATACACACTCTTTCCATGGGTGCTGCACAGCTGTCAAGGCCTGGGTGGGAGGTGTGGAGGACGCTGAGCAAAGCACTGTTTTAGAGTACAAGCCACAGGGCTTCCCTCGATATCTGACAGCCTTTCAGCATGTTTGCATATTTCCTTTGGATAGTGTTAGGGAAAGAATTGCTTTATGCGGACTTCTGGCTCAAATCTATTTTAATGTGTACTTCATGTAACAGGTGCTTAATTTCCACTCTTTACTTCACAGATTTTTATAGTTATTCAGTATTTATGTGTTAGATGCTGGCGATAAAGCAATAGATGTGATCTCATGGAGTTTGCTTTGTAATTGGGGAAGACAAACAAAAAGCAGTAGCTACGTAAAATATATATTTTGTTAGATAGGTGTAACTATTATAGAAAAAAAAATATCGAGGGAATGGTCAGGATTGAGTAGTACTGCTCTTTTTAAATTGCTTGGTCAGAAAAGACCTCCATTGAGAATATGTCATTTGAGTAAAGTTCATAAAGAAATGAGTGAATGCGCTATGTGGGCCTCTGGGAGAAGAGGCAAAGACCTTGAGGTGGCTTATATAAAGTGTAGAATAGAACCTACTCTTGTCTAGAAGCAGAGGGAGAGCAGAGTCATAAGAGGTAGAGTCAGAGGTAAACAAGAACTAGATCATGCAGGAGCCTAGCTTTAACTAGAGTGACATGAGAAACTGTTAGAGGATTTTCTAGTAGAAGAATGAGATGATTTAACATTTTAGCAGAATCCCTCTGACATCAGTATGAATAGACAGAAGAGGGAAGAATGTGATAGTAATTAGAAGGCTAATGTGATTGTCTAGGGCCCATAGGTTCCTAAATTTATTTGTCCTACTCCCGCTATTCAGAAAAGAAATTATTCAGTGTCCCCCCTGGCAATTAAAAACGTTTGTATTGCAGCCCAATAATGCAGGATAAAGTGTGGGTATCTGCTTTTGTGGCTCCTTGAATTGTATTACCTACTTGGGAAGCACTGGATTCTAGACAGTAAATAGTAGTCACAAAGATGGTGACATTGGAAGTGATAAGAAATAGCTAAATTTTGGATGTGTTCTGAGGGTAGAGCCAAAGGGATTTGCTGCAGGATGGGGTTTGTGATATGAGTCAGACTTGGTGTCAAGTATGATGCCAAAGCTTTTAACTTGAGCTTCTAGAATGATGCCAATTCCTGAGAAAAATCTAGGAATCAGAAGCTCAGTTTTGATATAACCTGTATGTGATGCCCTTTCAGGTGGAGACATGAAGTAAACAATGGATATCTAGCTCATAAGTTAGGGATATATTTGGGAGTCATAGCCTTCAGATGATATCTGCTCTAATTCATTAAGGGAATAAGTTTAAGTAAGAGGATGCAACAGCTGAGCCTTTGATGACTTCTGCCTTGTCACAGAGGGGGATGTGGAAGAAATGGAGAGAGTAAAGGAGCACAACCGTGAGTTGGGAGGAAAGCGCATATATTACAGGCCAAGGAAAGGTAGAAACATCTGTTTACAGCAAGTGGAGGCCACAGATGACTTTAACAAGCACTTTTTATGCAATTGCATAAATAATCTTGTATATATTGTATAGTACTAGAGTCTACGGTGTTACTGTGTCATTGATGTATTGAACCATAGACTAAACCTTAAGTATACAGACTCTGTCTATATTTTATAAGTATCTACTATTTTGGCAATACAGAATTAGTTCATTTTTTTATCTATTTGGTATCTTCAGTAAAAAACAAAAGCAAAAGCAGTGTTTAAATAATAATCTGAAGCAATATAACTTGATTTAGGGATTATCTTGGACTTGATTAATCTTTTGTTGTTTTTTATAACAGAATATGAAGAAAGTGGATTGTTGGAAACAGATGAGGTTTGTCAATTGAATTTTCGTAAGTTAACTTATGAATTAACTCAGGGATTAGTGTTCTTACTAATAACATTTTGGTGTGTCAAAGATGTCGTTATTTGTATGCTCACGTTGATTATAACATATATGATTTTACCTTAGAGTTTTATGAATATCTGACTATAAGAAATATATATATAAGTATATATAAACACATATCTGATGGGGAAAAACTAATTTTCTAGAATGTCTTCTTCATGTAAATTTTAATGTACTGATTTTTTTCCTCACTATAATATGCTAGGCTACCCTAGACACAAGGAAAATCGTAGAAGCTTGTAAAGCTAAAATTGATATTGGAGGTGAAGACGCTATCTTGCAAACCAGAACGTATGACCTTTACATCACTTATGACAAATATTATCGGACACCAAGACTGTGGTTGTTTGGTTATGATGAGGTAAAAATAATTATGTTTTAATATAAACATTTTAGATCATTGGACTCAATTCCTCCATTATTATGTCCTTGCACCTTGTGTTCTTTTAAGTTTCATAAATCATTTGTCTTATTTTGATTGGATGATTAACATAAGATTTAATTCATATCTTGAAGAAGCTGAATTGCTGAGTGAAATACCAGTAAAATTTAAACAGAAATAGTCCATTGCATATTTATTCCTTGGCTTCTGATTTAATCCCTCAAAAATGTAAGGAAATTGAACCTGGCTTATGATACATTTTGTTTGAGGGGTTACATTTGTGGTACATAGAGTCACTTACCACTGATTGTATTGTATGATTTTTTTTTCTCCTTGAGACAATACTTTTTTCACCCATCTAACTGAAAAAAGAATAGTTGAAAGAAATACCTTATGTGGGAAACAAAGGCCTAAACAATGATTTATAAAGTTATAAAATATTTTGACAGCTGTGAACCTGGTTTTTTTTGTGGCATCCTGATTGCAGTAAGTGGTGGTTATGTCATATAAGTTGCTTCTACATGCCTCTTGATACAAATGAGCTGTGGATTTCTCCTCAAATAAGCTGGTGTTTCTGAAGAGAATGGAATTCTAAATTGCAAGTGAAAATGCATATGGGTGTGGAGGATAGAGAGAGTATAAACATTGAGATTCTAGGCTAAAAGTTTCTTACCAGTAACTCTACGGTGTGTGTGCATGTGTGTGTGTGTGTGTGTGTGTGTGCGCGCACGCGCTTTCAGCAACGGCAACCCTTAACAGTTGAGCATATGTATGAAGACATCAGTCAAGATCATGTGAAGAAAACAGTAACCATTGAAGATCACCCTCACCTTCCACCACCGCCCATGTGTTCAGTTCACCCGTGCAGGTTTGTACATATTTTGTGTATATTCATATGTGTATCTTGTCTGCTTCTTGGGATTACTCTTGGGAAGCTATAAATAGAATGCTCTAACATTAAAGATTTATTTAATAAGCAAATAAAATTCCCTTTTATTTTCCTTAGAAATGTTCTTATGCTCAAATAAGTATAAGAAAAAGGGGGAGGAAAATTCACTTAGTTAAGTTTAATACGTTAAGAATGCATGTGTGTTTATTTAGAGAGTGATGTGAATTGTACCCATTTTCCAAGAATGGATTGGGAAAGCCTGTTTTGGATTGAAACACTAATTTGTGGTAGTGTAAATGTAGAGAATGAAGTTGACGATGTGCTTTCCTGGATCGTTATTTTTGTTGGGCAATGTGATATGAGGGTTTCCATTTCTTTTATTCTTCAGTTAAGAGATCTGAAGCTTACAAATAAAATCCATTTTATTATTTAATATTTCATCTAAATAATAATCTTCCCAGACTAATTGCATCATAGACTCTTTAGTTCTTTATTGTGGGAATAATAGGAAAAAGGAGAGCAGAGTGGAGAAACAGACCCTTTTATGGCCCACTCCTGGTCTGTGTGTGAGTCCTTAATACGACACCATGAGGCAGAGTCTGCCCAGGTTCAAAGTTTAGGTTAATTGTGAAGTTCTGTACCTGCATTAGCTTTTTCTTTGTTTGGAATTCCATATTGCAGTGGGATTTTCTTTTTGCTAATATTGAGGCTGAGGCTATGTGCATATGTTATTAAGAACTTTCTTGTTTTAAATGGTGTTATATTCTCATTGTTTTGGTGTTACCTTCTGAAAAAAATTATCAGTTTTATTGGCATATAATTCATTTTTACTTATTTTTAATAGTTAGCTTTCAGCTACTGATTATATACTGGTAGCATTTTTTTAAATGAAACTTTTAGTGTTTCGTTAACCAGTTAGATGAAACATTTATTTTCCTTCCTGCCTCCTTTTCCTATTTCAAGGAAAAACAGAAACTTTACTATTTGTTTCACTTTATATGGCATCTTTATTTCGCAGCTCTACCTTACAAAAAGCCGTGTTCATTACTCTAGCTTTTCTATGTCAAGAACCCTTAGGAACTGTTGTTAACAGTGACAAGTAATGCAGCATTCATTAATTTTAGTTTTGAATTATCTATTATGATCTGGAAGTTATTCATATTTCAGAGCTTTTCTGTTGGTTCCTCTCATGGCTTGAGGTTTTAGGCTTAACTGAAGCAGGTCTCTTTCTGAGGTATAACTTTTCCTCTGACTTGAAGGGAGACAATGATTTAAACTGAAGTGAATTTTAAACATTTTAGCAAACATGACTTATCTTAGGGACAGAATGTTAGTCTGACGAGAGGTCTATAAAGTAAGACTTAATAGACATTTTGGGCCTTACCATGGGCCATGTTATATGCTTCCAGATCTCCAAGGTGAATACGTCTACTTTAATCTTCTCAGTGGATTGCCTTTGTCTCGAAGTTTTTATAGTAATAAATCTTTAAGAGGCATTATAACCTTCTCTATGCATGCAGGATTCTTTTCTAAGTCTGTGTGCCCAGTGACATGGTGTATTGCTCTTTTCTCTAGCACAGGAGAGGTACCAGCTGTCCTTGAAAAGATTCGTGTATCAGACAAAAGCTTATGATAAATACTTACATCAAACAAAGACTTTATTTCTAAATAGAAGTATTTAAAATATACAAATCTTTTCATATCAGTTATGGCAAAGGGGAAAAAATAGACACTCTTCCCTCATACAGTTAGCTTTCCTTTGAGCCTCTTGATTTGGGCTTTGTTATTAGGTGCATTCGAGTTGGTTCCAGCTTATAGGAACCTTGTGTACAGGAGCACGGAACCAACCCTGCCCGGTCCTGCGCCAGCCTCACAGTTGTTCATTGGTGCAGCCACTGTGTTCGTCCATCCGTCCTGTTGCGGGCTGCCCCTGCTTTACCAAGCACGATATCTTTCTCCCGGGACTGAGTTTGTCATTTGGGGCAACTCAGCTAAATAGTTAAGCAGTCAGAATCCTAGGGTTTCGATCTTTCTTCTTCTTTTTTTTTTTTTTAACCAGTTTTACTGTGTATCTTTTTTGAACCTGCCTGAACTAAATTGAGGAGCCCTGGTGTTGTAGTTTTACATGTTGGGATGTTACCATATTCAGCTGCTCCCCAACATGAAGAAGAAACTTTCTACTCCTATAAAATTACAGTCCCCCACAGAGGTAGTTCTTCCTGTCTTATGAGTGGGAATCAGCTCAGATGGCAGTGCAGTGTGTTGGCAATGTTCCCTGGCGTGGCTTTCTTTTCTCTGGTTTTCCACTGCCTAACTCCCCGTTCTGATAAGAAAGCTGACTGTGTGTCCATTGTGTTCACTGTGAATCCTGCAGCTTTAAAAAAGCACCTGCTCCTTCCCCCAGTAACACTGCCCGCATGGGGCAGGGAGAGTATATTTCACAATGTAACTGTTATATTTTAAAAATGAATTCACTGTTAATAGGGTAAATTACTACAGAAACACAAACTTGCTTTTCAAATGATTGCGATTTAATTGAATACAGTAATTATTCTTTTGCTTTTAGACATGCAGAAGTGATGAAGAAAATTATTGAAACAGTTGCAGAAGGAGGGGGAGAACTTGGTGTTCATATGTATCCTTACCTGGGTGTATGATTGGTGGAAATTTAGCGCTAGGATATGATTTTCCCCCTTTTGGGGAAGCTTAGTGGTATAGTCTGGGAACTGTACAGTTTCGGAAACCCACACGGGGTCACTATGAGTCCACATGGACTCTTTGGCAGTGGGTTTGGTTTGGGTTGGAGTGTCATCTTAAAGACAATATCTATGACCCCTTTTGGTCCCTCAGATCTGGAAGTCTGCCCTAGTGGAAGTCTCTACTTTATTTAGAAAATGTTATATTGTGATAGCTGTTACACATAGACTAAAGGGTCTGTGTGTAATTCACCACTATGTCCATTAAGGACTTGTGCTAATCATGATTATTCCTGCCCTATCACAGATATTTCCAATTTAGAATAGTACCTTGTTTCCTTTTTCCATATAAGTAAAGTTAGATTGTGTAGCAGGTGGGTTAATTAAAAAGTAATGCGCATGGAGCATAGGTCAGAATCTTAATTCCACCAGGTCATAACACCCTGATTGATCATACTGTATAATATATAGTTACTTTACTTCATTTCCTGACCTCGATAAGAGTAATACGTTAAAGTTACTATCCAAGTAAAGTCTTGGATCCCTGAGTACATGTACCTGTAGCAGGGATTTGTTAAAATCAATTTGTTCAGATGCCAGATACTTTGAATTCATTTGATACTAGGTTTGTATTAGACTTGATGGTTCATGCTCCTCAGTGTTATATGTACACTCAAGGGTCCATGTGTAATTCACCACTCTGTCCTTTAAGAGAAAATGTCATCTGATTTATTGGTGAAACAAATATGAACTTAATAGTGCAAACCAAATTTGCTCTTGAAATTCTGTAATACATCGTTGTATTTATCTTTAAGTTGGTTCTCTCAGTGAAAATTAAGTCTGGTTGTAATATACCTGAGAATGTAGAAAAGATACAATATTTCATTCAAGACAATCTGACATAACAGATTCTTTGGCAAGAAGGACATGAACTAACTAGAAACAGTCTTTAAGGAGGATTTCCACTGGTAGCATAGTGAATTGCATAGTTTGCTACTTATTCCAAGTGTAGTTTGAAATCCCCAGCTGTTCCGCAGGAGAAGGATGAGGCTTTCTACTCCCCTAAAGAGTTAGTCTTGGACACTCACCAGGGTAGTTCTCCTCGGTCCTGTAAGGTCACGTGAGTCTGCATCAACTTGATGATAGTGAGCTTTTTGACTTTTTTGTGTCAGTGCTTTTATATTCTTTAGTCTATCCATTTTCTCTAAATTATACTTAAGCAGTAAAGGGATCTTTTCCCCCTTAAATATCTATCTCCTTATGTGTATATCCAAGTATTGGGCTGAGAGGTGCGGTTACATACCCCACTGCTCTCCAAAAGGCCGGCAGGTGCAGTCAGCAGTCACTCCAGAGGAAAAGGAGTTGGGCTCTGCTCCCCGAAAGACCGATCGTTCTGAAAACTGAGGCAGTTTTACTCTTCCTTACAGTGTCACTGTGGGTTAGAATTGACCTGACAACACTGGGTTTGGTTTGTATAGTAACTCTTACTTAGTAGCAAGTTTCAAGTGCAAATATTAAATGGCAGTTGGTAGTCAGTCTTAAAGCTAGAGACCTTCATTTTGAATAGATACAAATCTGTGTGAGTGAATTTTTGTAATATACTTCCTTTAATATTTTTATCTTAAAATCTATTAGGATGGAACGATTTTTCTGAGAAGTTATTGCTTAATAAAAAATTGAAAATTGCAGTGTTGCCTTAAAATATTGAACTTTTAAAAAAATCTTATTTTCCTTAGCTACCTTCAGGTATCTTCTAATATTCTTGAAATTTGTACAAGCTGTCATTCCAACAATAGAATATGACTACACAAGACACTTCACAATGTAATGAAGAGAGCATAGAATCTATCCTAATTATTGGTTCTGATTTTTAAAGAATTAATCCATAGATGTGACTATTGACCATATTCATCAGTATACAGAATTTCTCTAATAAAGGGACTTAACATGTTTATGCATTAAATAAAAAAAAGTGTTCCACTACCAGCCTTATTTGTTTAATAAAAATGAGTGCAAATCCGTTGTCTTTCTTGTTTCTTAATCAAAAGGGTTGTCCTAAATAACAGCTCTTCTAGTGAAATGCATCTTGTAGAAAGCTAAGGGTTTGGGTTCAAATTTAGGAGGAAGATACTAAATGTGTAATGGCATGTCATAATTTCTTGGTGCTACTGTAACAGAAACACTGTTCCAAGTGGGTGCCTTTCAAGACCAGACACTAACTTCTCATGACTCTGGAGACAAAGTTCAAATGAAGATCTCGGCCATGTGGGTGGGTTCCTTCCCAAGTCCCATAGCTCCTGGTGTTTCTTATTTATCCTTACCTGCCACTTTTCCCTGTGCTTATGAATCTTTGTGTCTATTCTGGCCTTTTAAAAACATACGTAATTAGATTTTTAAGCACCTATCCCATACTAGTATGGCCATAATGGATTGATTAGATTATGGAAGATGATTGTATTATACTACATTGGATGTGTATTGCATCCACAAATGTAGGGTTTAGGATTCCAACACATTTTAGGGAAATAAAATTCATAGTATCAGAACTAGGTATAGAGTGCATGCTAGACCTTTCCCTTTGCTTCTTTTCTCTCCGTCTCTCACACCCTCTCCAGGTCTCCAATTTGCGCTTGCTTTGTGCTGAGTTTTGGTGGTTTTACTAAATTGATACTAACACGGTCCCTTTTTTTCTATTAAAGATGCGGGAATATTTCTCATATTGTGATTTCCTGATAGAATATTTCATAGCATGGTAGAATATTATAACATGAAGGTATCTTGTATCACAAAAGAACAAAACACTGCCCAGTTCTGTGCCATCCTCAAGTTTTATGTTTGATCCCATATGGCAGCCACTGTGCCAGCCAGCTCAGTGAGGCTCTTTCAGTGTGTCCTTCAGGGCGGTCCCTTCTAATAACAGGTTCAACATACCTTAGTTTGGCTTTATTTTTTGCCACTTTCGTACAAAATTTGCCATTCTCTTTTCTCCCAATTGTAAAATCTCCATAATTATGCTTGGTGGAACCAAGGTATAATACATGACAAAGCATAGTATGGAGCTATAAGCATATTCATAATGTTCTAATAAATATACTTCAGAAATCCTGCTTGCTCATGTAGCCAACAAAATAATCACCTTTGTTGGTAGAAATATTTTCAATACCTTTAAATGATCCCCAATATTAGATATTGTTGACATTTTTTCTTCCACTTAAATCTTAGTGAGGAGTGTTGGTAGGGCTGTGGTTTAGGTATTGGACTCCTAACTGTAAGGCTGGTGGTTCAAACCCAGAACTCCAGATGATAAAGATGAGGCTTCTCCCGTAGAGATTTTCAACCATGGGCCCCAATGGAGACAGCCCCCCTCTCCTTGTCAGTAGTCATTTATCTCAGTTACTAGGTAGAATAAAGCAATTTTCCCTGCTAGTGGAAATGGAACAGAGGCCACATCTAACTTCTATAGCCTCACAAAGGGGAAGGAGAATCCAGCACCATATCTGTTTAAGGATGATTCCTTTGAAGCAGAGCCTCCAGCCTCCAACTTTATTTGCCTTAGTATAGTGCCTCCTAAGGCACTCCTACACTATTCTCTTGGGTTTGATAATTCACAGCAGTGGCCACATAGACCTCACAGGTAATACAATACTCTCAATCATGGGATTTACTGGGGAAGCTAGTATGTTACAAGTCAGGATCAGAAGTGTTAAGGATGCATTTCTTTATCTTCAGTGCCTTCCTAGCCATTCCACATTCTTCTGTGTCTGGTCCTTAGCCTAGCAGCCAGGTGGCCCCTTGGCTTCTGTCCTCAGGCAAGTATTACAAACTCCCTCAGCACTGATAAATGACCCAAAGTTAGCTCATTCTTCAAGCCAGCCTCTTGCCCAAAGTCACTCAGCATTACTCATTGCAAGGGTCAAACATCCACCACTCTTTCATGGTCTCCGTGTTGTGCTCTGTTGCCCTCACTATTTCTCCACACAAAGGCCTTTGAGGCGCCTCACTGTGATGGTTTTTTCTTGACTGGATGGGATTATCACCTTTCTGAGATGGGTTAATTTCCCCTAGTGGTGAAGTGTAATCTAGGGCCTTCAATGCTTTTGTTCATCATGTGTCATTCTAAATTGCCATGGATTCCAATGTAATGGAGCCCACCATTTGTTGTTCAGCTTGTACTGTGGCAGCTTGTGTGATGCGGGGAGCAGTGCCACTGGTATTACAAATACTAGTAGGGTTATCCTAGGTGAAGAGTTCAGCAGAGCTCCCAAACTAAGAACAGACTATGAAGAAGGAATAGGCTGTCCACTATGAGAGGAATTAGCTGCTGAAAACTTTTATGGATGGCAGCAGAGGAACTTTGAGGCCATCTTTTTTAACTACCATTCCCTTTGTTTCCAACTTTCACATTCCAATTGCCAGTAATTATCAGTGCCTCTTGATTGTGTGCTTATATTTTATTGATTATGCCAAGGCCTTTGGGTGGATTACAGCCACCTAGAGATAGCATTCAGAAGAATGGGAATTCCAAAACACTTCATTGTGCTGTACATGGATTAAGAAGCAGTCGTCTGACTAGAACAAGGAATACTGTGTGATTTAAAATAAGGAAAGGTGTGCCTCAAGGTTGTATCCTCTCACCATACTTATTCAATCAGTATGCTGAACAAATAAACTGGATGGTAAGAAGAATGTGGCACCAGGATGGGAGGAGGTTTTATTAACAACCTGCATGATGCAAATGATACAACCTTGATTGCTGAACGGAAGGAGGACTTGAACCAGTTGCTGAAGAAGATCCAGGGTTGCAGCCTTGTATGGATGACAACTCAATGTAAAAAAGTCTTCATAACATGACCAATAGACCATCATGATAAATGGAGAAGGTTAAAGTTGTCAAAGATTTTATTTTACTTAGGACCCCAATCCGTGCACTTGGAAGCAGCAGTCAAGAGATCGATTGATGCACTGCCATAAATCTCTACACGATCTCAAATGCCTTTTAAAGTTGCAAATGAAATATGGAAGAAATGTATAGTTGTTCCTGTAATGTGACCAACTCAGTTTTCCCCCAACTCGAGGCAGGTTACATCAGTCATTCAGGACTGTCCCATAGGCTTACGTGTAAGGCTCATTTAAAGTAAGTTACCCTTTGGGTTGTTCACCCCCAAGTCTGTTTTGAGTCTGAGTCACCGTGCAGGAGAAAGATGGACTGTCTCTTCCTAGAATGAGTTAGCGCCTCAGAAACTTAGCAGTTCTGCTCTATCCTAAAGGGTCACTGTGAATCAGAATCGACTTGTTTTTTAAGAGTTATTAGCTTCAGGTACAAAAAGCCCTGTTGGTGCTGACAAGTAAACATTGAACTGCTAACTGAAAGATCAGTGGTTCAAACCCACTAGCTGCTTCTCAGAAGATAGAAAAGGCGATGTGTTGTAAAGATTTACAACCTGGAAACCCTTTGCAGACAATAAGTTGGAATAGACGAGGGCAGTGGGTTCAGTTGGCTTTTTTGGTCGTCAAAGCTGTAATTGATAAATGCAACAAGTGTATCTGGGTTTTCACTTCCAGATCACGACGGGCTGGAAGATCCACTGTTCAGTTAAAATGCGCTAGCCGTGGCTGGGGCTAACCTACCCGATGAAGGCAGTATCATCCCATGCCTGAGAGGAACGTAACAAAAAAGAAAAGCAAGCCTCAAATACACTTTCACAGAATAGATGAGCAAAAAGATAAAGAAGGGTACCTCATGCAATTCTAATGTACAAGGTTCTCGGGTCACACTTTGAGAAAATATTCTCACCTAATCACAGAGGAGTAAAGTTTTCCTCTGTGATAAATTTTGGGACTTTTCAGAATAGAGCTCATTTTTGTGATGCCATTGTTATTAATTCGTAGAAATCGGTAGCTGACATGTTGGAATAGCATCCCGGATTCATTTCCAGTACAAGTGATATAAATAGAAATGTTTTACTTCATGAACAGAAGTAGCGAAGAGCTGGGCTGAGAGCCAGTCGCTAATTCCAAGGCCTCTCATTTAGCTTTTTGTGATCTTGGTTGGATAGTTGTGTCTGAACTCCAGGTTCCTCATCTACCAAATGAAGAGAACATTTTCCAGCGACCCAGCTGTTAGGACGATTGAATGAAGTAGTGCATGTGAAAAACAGCATATTGCTTGATTTTGATGCTATGATGGCCGCCTATTTTCTACTTCTGCCATCCCACCACTAGAACATCTAGTTTGTGCGTTTTGTACCTCGAGTTCTGACTCATAGTGACCCTGGGTACAGGGAACAAAACATTGTCCGGTCGTATGCCATCCTCACAAGTGCTCTTATGTTTGCACCCATCGACCCAGCCACTATGTCAATCCATCTTGTTGAGGATCTTCCTCTTTTTCGCTGCCCCTCTGCTTCACCACGCATGATGTCCTTCTCCAGGGACTGGCCCAAAGTCTTGTGGGACGAAGTCTCGCGATCCTTGCCTCTAAGGAGCATGACTACTTCCAAGACAGATTTGTTGTTCTGGCAGTTTGTGATTCTTTCAGTATTCATCTCCACTACCATAATTCAAACCCACGGATTCGTCTTCGCTCTTCCTAGTGTCTAGAATTCGATGCTTTCACCACCAGCCCAAGTTCGATTCCTGGTCAGAGAGAACCGCCATCACTTGTCTGTCAGCTTGTGTGATGCTGGAAGCTATGTCACCAGTATTTCAAATGCCAGCAGGGTCACACACAGTGAACACGCTTCAGCAGCACTTCCAGACAGAGATCAGACAAGGAAGAAGGAATAGGCTGTCCACTTCTGAGGAACTGGCCACAGAAAAGGAATGGAGTGAACGTCTAGGACCGCAGAAGGTCAAATGATCTATGTCCAGCAGAGGGCAGTAAAGCAGCACAAGATTGAAATAGACATCCTGGCGCTTTGTAGAATTTGCCAAAATTACTCTCATCTCCTGTGTTTCAATCTAATGGAAGAGGGAGATGGAGTATTTTAGTGAACCTTTTCAATGTTTGAGATTCTTCTC